TTGCACCTTTTATTGATGAGAATATCTTTAAATATCCTTTTTCTACTGAGTTGGCTGTAATTCTGTTGGAAATTATTTGTATATGGATGTTTGGGCATGTATTTATTTTTTAACAGAGTGGATAGTGAGAGACAGAGAGAAAGGTCTTCCTTTACCGTTGGTTCACCCTCCAATGGCCACTGCAGCCGGCGCACCGTGCTGATCAGGAGCCAGGTGCTTCTCCTGGTCTCCCATGGGGTGCAGGGCCCAAGCACTTGGGCCATCCTCCACTGCCTTCCCGGGCCACAGCAGAGAGCTGGCCTGGAAGAGGGGCAACCGGGACAGAATCCGGCGCCCCGATCAGGACTAGAACCCGGTGTGCTGGTGCCACAGGTGGAGGATTAGCCTATTGAGCTACGGCGCCGGCTTAGGTGTGTTTTTAAATTGTTCTTTGAGTCCCTTTGTCCAGCCTCTTTACAAAACATTTGTGTATGTATCTGAATAATATTTGGTATGAGTTTATATACATTAATTTTACTTTAAAGTAAAATTTTTACTTTAGACCTACTTTAGACTATCCTGTGGTACTTATTTGGTAACTGAGTTTTTGACACTATTTTGAGATTATTCCATGCAACTTTCTGACTGCTATAAACAGTGATAATGTCTTCATTTACCTGTATCATTTCAGTTAATGTGGCATAATTACCAGTGTGGTTATCTTAGATGCAGATGTTTTTGTTATGTGAATAAACCACAATTCACGCATTCCCTATTGGGTGGACATGTACATTACTACAAATCTTGTATTTTAGAAATAGCGTGGCAGTAATTTCTGTTTTTGTTATGTGCATATGGGTGAGGTTTGTCTCAATCTGTGTCCATCTGGGATGCCAGTGTTGCAGGCTTTACCCGCTGTGCCACAATGCATGCTTTCATTGTTTGGTTAAAGAGATTCTAAGGTCAACAAAAGTGACATTGTCAGAAAAATTGCAGATTGAAAGCCAATTCCTTCCCTTCCGAAAATATTCTGATACTGTTCTTTGAAAAGAATAAATGAATACCTTGTTTAAAGGTAATCAAATAACTTTTTTTGGAGGATGCTTAGTTCTTGGGCCTTAAATCACTGAAAGTTGGGAGAAAATTAACCATGAGAGTTGAAATTGGACCAGCCAAAGCTGCTGCTGGTACATGAGAGAATTAAGTACCCTCCTTGTACTAATTAAAATCATACATAAAGCAGGGTTAGTTTGTGAAGTTACATATCTAACTTTAAAGAGTTAGAGATGAAGTTTTTCTTTTTTTAAGATTTATTTATTTGAAAGGCGGAGTTAGAAGGAGGCATGGAGAGAGATCTTGCATGTGCTGGTGCACTCCCTAAGTGGCTGCAGTGGCCAGAGCTCGGCCAGTCAGGAGCTTCATCTGGGTCTTCCACATGGGTGCAGGGGCCTCTTTTGCTGCTTTCCCAGGCACATTAGCAGGGAGCAGGATTCAAAGTGGAACATAGTGCTGAAGGCGGCGGCTTTACTTGCTATGACACAGCACCAGACCCAGAGATAGGGGTTCTTAAAGATCATTTCAAATGATCTAAAATGAGTAAGCTAACACAAATGAGCTAAAATGGGTAAGATAACACATCAGTAATTGGTTGTCAGTATACTCTTGTTCCTTTTTTTTTTAATTGTTCTGAGCACAATGTATGCTTACTCCAGGACATTCTCATAATAGTTCTGTGCAGTAGTTGGAGAATTTGGAAGTTTGGTACAGGATCTTCTAAATACTTTCCTTGCAGTAGTTAATCAAATTTATAGGACTTTTTCTTATAAAAACTAAGCTCTAGGGGTGGGCTTTTGGCACAGCCATTAAAATGCTACTGCATCTCATATTGGAGTACCTGGGTTTGAGTTCTAAGCTCTGCTCCTGATTCCAGCTTCCTGGTAAGGCACATACTGGGAAGCAGCAGGTTAGATTCCTGCCACCTGCTTGGGAGACTGGGATTCAGTTCCTGGCTCTTGGTTTTGGCTTGGCCCAGCCCTGGCTATTGCAGGCATTTGAAGAGTGAACCAGCAGATGGAGGATGGCTGTTTCTGTCTCTCTCTGTCTGATTTTCGAAAAAAACCAACCCTGAGCCCCAGATCTCTTAATCTGTTTCAGCAGCTACATGGTATTAAATTATACAGTGTTTCTTAGTATTACTATTGCTACAGTGAATACACCTTAGGTTTATGTTATTGTTCCTTATGTTGATGTGTTCTCTTATTCCTTGTGTTTTTAATACAATTTTTATATGGAATATTGCACCATAAAACAAAAAACAGTAGTCAGCACTCCAGTTTCAGATTGTTACTATTTTTTTTTAAGATTTTATTTATTTATTTGAAAGTCAGAGTTACACAGAGAGAGAAGAGGCAGAGTGAGAGAGGTATTCTATCTGATGGTTCACCCCCCAGTTGGCTGCAACGGCTGGAGATGCGCCCATCCGAAGCCAGGAGCCAGGAGCTTCTTCCTGGTCTCTGATGTGGGTGCAGGGGCCCAAGGACTTGGGCCATCTTCCACTGCTTTCCCAGGCCGTAGCAGAGAGCTGGATCGGAAGAGGAGCAGCCGGGACTAGAGCTGGTGCTTCAGGCCAGGGCATTAACCTGCTGCCCCACAGCACTGGCCCCCAGGTTGTTATTATTTGAAATGAAGAGAGTTGGATATTGATGTTTTCTAGTAGTTTTTTTCCGAGGGAAATATTCCTAATGATTATCGTTTGTGAAAAATTGAGGGATGGTGTTTGTTGCAGTGCCAAAGATACCTGTTGGGATGCTCGTGTCCCATATCAGTGCCGTGGTTCCTGTCCTGTTTTTTTAATTTATTTCAAGGACAGAGTAACAGGGGAAGGCGGGGGAGGGGGGGTTGGGGAGGCGGGAAGAGAAGAGATCCCCAGGTGGCTGCAACAGCCAGGTCTGGGCCAGGCTGAAGCCAGGAGCCGGGAACTCCATTTGAGTCTCCCATATGGTTGAGGGGGCCCAAGTATTTGGGCCATCTTTGTCTGCTTTCCTAGGTGCATTAGCAGAAGTGGGGCAGCTGGGTTTAGAACTGTACCCATATGGGATGCTGCTGTCACAGGTGGCAGCTTTACCTGCTATGCCACACGCCAGCCCCCTGGCTGTGCTTCTGATTGCGGCTTCTTCCTAATGTTGGTGCTGAGAGGCAGCAGGTGATGGCTCCAGTGCTCCCACGCAGCAAACCCGAGTTGACTTCCCAGGTTTCAGGCTTCAGGTCTGGCTCAGCCCTGGCTTTGTGGGCATTTGGGGAGTTGGAGCCAGGACTTGCAGACACTGTGGCAGGTATCCCACCTTGTAGCGTAACCTTCTGGCCAAATGTCTGCTTTTTTTTGCTGATTCTTTAAGAGTTTAGGGGGAAGTATAATTTAAAAAAATATTTTTCCTATCTCTTTCATATAGTTTTGAGATATGATGGTATTCATAAATATTGAGAATATTGTTAACTTGGACAGAAAATTATAAGAAAATAAATTTGCTTTGTTGAAAATGAGTGATTTTTCTCTCTCCTTTTCTTTCTAGGTCATTTCTTTAACCTCTGGTCTTTCTAGATCATAATGATTTCAGGTTATAACATTCTTAGGAATATTATTTTTGAGTGATTTGTAATACACTACTCAAAAAGTTTAATTCTTTGACCTTAAAGCAGTGTAAATTGTTCTAAGTGTTTACCTAGGAGAGAGACACCTATCTTTTTGAAAGTCCTTCAGCCATCATATCGGCTTGGAGAAGGGAAGCTGGCTCTTGACTTGAAATAATAAAAGCAGTTTGTTTCTTTTTCCTGATTATGTTATATGCTTCATATTCCAACCAATAATTGGCATACTCTATCTTATTAGGAACAGCCAGAAGATGGGATTGTAAAAATTTCTGAAACCTCTTTAGAAAGGACACAGTGTTGTGAGAATGTTCGATAAAATGAGGGATAATTTTGGAACTTTTTAACATGTTTTCCTTGGAGATTTTCCCATTTTCTCCTAGTAGTTTTCATAGTTTCAATTGTATGAATTTGATTTTTTAACTTTTATATTTAATGGAAAGTTGAGGGCGGGGGCATAGTTCTGTCAGTCTTCCCATCTACTAGTTCACTCTAGAATGATTGAAACAACCAAAGGAGGCCCAGAACTCTTCCATATGGGTGGTGGGGACCCAAGAATTTGAGCCATCTTCTGCCTTGCAGGATGCACATTAGCAGGAAGCTGGATTGGAAGTGGAGGTGGGACTTGAACCCAGATGCTACCATATAGGAGCGTGTGGCAAATCCAGGCTTTGCCACAATGCCATCCTGCATGTATCTCATTGGAGCTTTCCATTTTCTTGTAATAATTTTTTTAGATTAATTTATTTGAAAGGCAGAGTTACAGAGAGAGGAGGACACATAGAAAGATCTTCCATCTGCCAGTTTACTCCCCAAGTGACTGCGGCCAATCTGAAGCCAGGAGCCAAGAGCTTCTTCCAGGTCTCCCATGTGGGTACAGGGGCACAAGCACTTGGGCCTTCTTCCACTGCTTTCCCAGGCCAGGCCATCAGCAGGGAGCTGAATTGGAAGTAGAGCAGCAGAGTCTTCAACCAGCGCCCAAGTGGGATGCCTTGCCACAAGCAGAGAGGCTTAACTTATTACTACACCACAGTGCCAGCCCCTCCAATAGTTTCATAGTTTGATTGTTGTATTTTTTTATTGATATACATACTTTTTGTAAGAACATCTGTCCCAGTGGGTCAGTAACTGTCAAACCACTGTCTTTTCTGTGATGAAATCACTTGAATTCACTTTTCATTATCTTAGATTTGATAGAATTGGGAGTTGATGATCACAGATAGACTTGACTCTTAGGAGGTATTAATTATATGTTTCTCATAGCCTATATTTCATGTTTGGAACAGAAAAGAAATCTTCGGGGACCAAACACACTTTGTTTTGGGACTTGTTGTTGTTGTTGTTGTTGTTAAAGATTTACTTATTTATTTGAAAAGGCAAATTTGCAGAGAGGCAGAGAGAGGTCTTCAATCCACTTGATTTACTCCCTAAATGGCCACAACTGCTGGAGCTGGGCCAGGAGCTTCTTCTGGGTCTCCCAGGTGGGTGCAGGGGCTTAAGGACTTAAGGACTTCAGCCATCTTCTACTGCTTTCCCAGCCCATAGCAGAGAACTCGATCAGAAGTGGAGTAGCTGGAACTCCAACCGGCACCCATATGGGATGTCAGTGCCTCAGGTTGCCCACTATGCCACAGCACTGGCCCCCTGATTGATTAACTTTTTTTTTTTTAATTGTCTGAAAGGCAGAGTTACAGAGAGGCAGATGCAAAGAGAGAGAGAGAAGTCTTCCATCTGCTGGTTCACTCCCCAAATGGCAGTGTTAGCCAGAGCTGGGCTAATCCAACTAGGAGCCAGGAGCTTTCTCCTGATCTCCCACGTGGGTGCAAGGGCCCAAGGGCTTGGGCCATCTTCTGTTGCTTTCCCAGGCCATAGCAGGCAGCTGGATTGGAAGAGGAGCAGCCTGTGCCCATATGGGATGCTGGCACTGCAGGTGGCGGCTTTACCTGCTGCACCACAGCACTGGCCCCTGATTGACTCTTTATATAGACTCCATTCCTTTGGGTCCAAAATACCAGTTTCTACAATTTTTCTGAGAATGATCAAATAGACTGGTTAGGTAGATTAATTTTTTAATGGAGAGTGATCAAGTTATTCATAACACATTCAGTTTATGGTCTTAAGTCACTGGAGAGCCTCCCCAGACATTTTTGTAGTCACTGGTACTATCTGATCTCCTTTTTGCTAAGATTTGTAATTTTTTTTGAACGTGGCAGCGTTTTTATTTAGAGTTTTTGCATATGAGTATTTTAAATAAAATAAACAATTTGAAGGTTTAGTTTGGAAGTTTTTAAATGTGTGTTCGTTCGTGTAACATTTACACAAATACAAACATTTCTTAACCAAGTCAGGCCTCCTGTGGTGCATTCCCGTTGATTTCCTTTCAGGCAACCACCCTCTGATTTCTGTCACCTTAGGCCAGCTTTCTTGTTGGGATTTTTAAAATTATATGTATGAGAGCCGGAAGTGCAGAGGGAGATCCGATGATTGACTTCCTAGATGCCCTCAGCTGACTGAGGCTGGGCCAGGCCCAAACTGGTAGCTATGAACTCAGTCCAGGTCTCCCACATGGATGGCAGGAACTCAACTACTTGTGATATCACCTGTTGGCTCTGAGGCTGCATTGGTAGAAAGCTGCCTGATAATGGGACGTGAGTCTCTTTAACTGCTTAGCCAAATGCCTGTCCCTGAATTTGATAGTTTCTTTATTTTATTTTATTATTATTATTTTTTTAAGATTTATTTATTTGAAAGTCAGAGTTACAGAGAGAAGGAGAGGCAGAGAGAGAGCAAGAGAGAGATAGCTTGTATCTGCTGGTTCCCTCCCCATTGGCCACAACGACCACAGCTGTACTGATCTGAAGCCAGGGGCCAGGAGCTTCTTCGGGGTCTTCCATGTGGGTTCAGGGGCCCAAAGACTTGGGCCATCTTCTGTTGCTTTCCCAGGCCATAGAAGACAGCTGGATTGGAAGTAGAGCAGCTTAGACATTAACTCTGCCACATATGACAGCAGCATCTGCTAGCGGTGCATTTACAAACTCAGCCACAGCGCTTCTCCTAATGCTCCTAGGAAAGCAGACAAAGAGGGCCCAATTGCTCGGTGCCCTGGCTCACTATGGGAGTCTCAAGCGGGCGGCGCCGGCAACCCAGGTTCTAGTCCCAGTTGGAGTGCCAGTTCTGTCCTGGTTGCTCCTCTTCGGATCCAGCGCTCTGCTATGGCCTGGGAAAGCCGTAGAAGATGGCCTAAATGCTTGGGCCCCTGCACCCGCGTGGGAGACCAGGAGGAAACACCTGGCTCCTGGCTTTGGATTGGCACACTGCGCCGGCCATAGCGGCCATTTGGGGGATGAACCAACGGAAGGAAGACCTTTCTCTCTGTCTCTCTCTCACTGTCTAACTCTGCCTATCAAAAATAAAATAAAATAAACCCACATGTTTAAAAAAGTTACTTATTAATATTTACTTGGAAGGCAGAGTTTCAGAGGGAGAAATCTTCCACCCCCTCATTCATTCCCCAAGTGGCTGCACCAGGCCAAAGCCAGAAGCTTCTTCTGGGTCTACCACTTGGGAGGCAGGGGCCCAGGCACTTGAGTCATCTTCCACTGCTTTCCCTGGTGCATTAGCAGCGAGTGTGGATGTAAGTGGGGAAGCTGGGACTTGAACTAGCACCCATATATATGCAGGCCTGGTGCTGCAGGTTGTACCACAGGGCTGGCCCCGAATTTGACTGAATCCAAAACAGTATAATGTGTTTAGGAAATTCAGAGGTGCTAATTGAAATCCTAGCTTTGAAAATATCCATTTAATGGAAGCTATTAAAGTGTTAAATTAATGAAGAAAGTTTATAATTTGTAAATGTGAATGATAGAGTTGTTATGGCTGGTTAACAGGAGTCCATGAGGAAGATGATTTGCCGTATAAACTTGTTTAACTCCACGTTTTTGGCTTTATTGAAATGACCTGAAATAAAACATTCTTGATAATTTTGATACCCGTATTATGTTTTCTATTTTTCACTTGAATTATCTAAATAATCTGAAAGAAGGAGAAAAAATTATATAGATGAAAATTTTCTTGCCTTTGATGTAGAGGATTTCTATCTTTTTTGCATAGGAAGATTGGATGTTAAGCAGTGTATTTCATAAAATGGTAACTTGAAGATTTTAAGAGACTGACAATTCTAGAGGATGCAGTTAGGTTTATGTCATTAGCCTAGTAATCATGCCATTTTGGGGAAAGAAAGCAAATAGCAGTTAAGAGAAGTAAGTGCAGTTGAGAGTAAAAAGATGGGAATTTACTTAATCTTTACCTGATTTATCTGTCCTGAGGAGGGGAGAGGGAAAACCATTGTGAGCTTAAACGTGCAAGCCAGCATTTGAGAGACAAAGCTTGCATCCACTGGTACACTCCAGATGTCAGCAGCTGGGGCTGGATGAAGCCAGGAGCTAGGAATCCAGTCCACATTTCCCGTGTGGATACCAGGGCTCCAACTGCTTCAGCCATCCGTGCTGCATCATCACAGGGTCTGCACTGGTAGGAAGCTAAAATCTGGTGCCTGGAATTGAGTCTAGGTGTTCCAGTGTGGGATGAAGTTACTCTTAACAGGTGTCTGAACCACAAACACCTGCTCCTGAGTTGCTTTTATATTGTGAATATATTGTGTACTTTTTTAAGATTTTTATATTACTTGAAAGAGTTAGAGAGATTGATGTCTTCCATCCGCTTGTTCACTCTGCAAATGGCGGCAGTGACCAGTGCTGAGCCGATCTGAAGTGAGGAGCTAGGAGCTTTTTTCCCAGCCTCCCACATCGGTGCGGGGGCACAAGGACTTGGGCCATCCTCTGCTGCTTTTCTAGGCGCATTGGCAGGGAGCTGGTTTGAAAGTGAAGCAGCATGGACTTGAACCAATGCCTATATGTGATGCCAGGGCTTTAATCCTACTGCGCTGCAGCACCAGCCCTTGTGTACTTTTAAAAAGGGTTTGTTTTATATATTTGAAAGAGTGACAGGGAGAGGCAGTGAGAGAGGTCTTCCACCCGCTGTGTCGCCATCCAGATGGCAACAATGGCGTGGAATGGGCCAGACTGAAGGCAGGAGTAAGGGCTCCATCCAGGTCTCTCACATGGGTGACAGGGTCCCAGATTTTTTTTTTTTTTTTTTTTTTTTGACAGGCAGAGTGGACAGTGAGAGAGAGAGAGAGAAAGTCTTCCTTTTGCCGTTGGTTCACCCTCCAATGGCTGCCGCGGCCGGCGTGCTGTGGCGGGCACACTGCGCTGATCCGATGGCAGGAGCCAGGTGCTTATCCTGGTCTCCCATGGGGTGCAGGGCCCAAGGATTTGGGCCATCCTCCACTGCACTCCCTGGCCACAGTAGAGAGCTGGCCTGGAAGAGGGGCAACCGGGACAGAATCCGGCGCCCAGACCGGGACTAGAACTCCGTGTGCCGGCACCACTAAGCGGAGGATTAGCCTAGTGAGCCACGGCGCCGGCTGGGTCCCAGGTTTTTGACCCATCCTCTGCTGCTTTCCCAGGAACATTAAGGAGTTGGATTGGAAGCAAAGTGGCCTGAATTGGAACTGTCATGATATGGGTTGCAGGTGTCACCTGCTTCCACCTAAGGCTGGCCCCTCATATTGTGTATTTTGGAAAAGACAGGGAAGCATAAGGAAATATATTAGTGCAATATAGTAGGATGAATATAGTAATTTCTTCTTGTATCTGAGAGACCCATTTGAAATTTGTGAAACTAGGTTTAGCAAGAAATTCTGAAATTGCCTTCTTTTGTGTCAGAGAAAAATGGAGTAATTTCTCGTTCTGCTTCAGGTTTAAAACTAAATATTTAGACTCGTACAAGTGATATCTTCATAACCATGCCAGAAGATACATTACTTTCCTGTTATGTCGGTGAAGTTGTTTGAAACTGATTGGGTTGCTGTAATTTAGAGAACATGAATAGGGCTTGGACTATTAAAGATTTTAGAGAGATGAATGAATGGGGTAGAAATTTAAAAAAAAAAGGTAGGCAGGTGGTCATGGTGACTCAGTGAGATAAACTACTGCTTGGTTTGCCTACATCCTATATTGGAGGGCCTGGAATCGACCTTAGCCTCCATTTCTGATCCAGCTTTCTGCCATTGTACCTTGAAGACTCAGATGATGGCCCAAGTACTTGGGTTCCTGCCATTTGTTAGAGAGCTGGATGGGGCTCCTGGCATTGGCCTGACTAGGCTCCTGCTGTTGCAGGCATTTAGGGAGTGTACGAGCAGATCTCTGTGTGGAACTGTTGCCTTTTAAATGAAACAATGGATGAGGAAAAAAAATAAATACAGGGGTAGCTGTTTGTACTGGTTAAGAGGCTATATATGTCACTTACCTCTATCAAAAGTGCCTGGGTTTGAGTCCTGGCTCTATTTCTGATTCTAGCTTCTTGCTAATGGGCACTCTGAGACTGTCCCATGTTGGGAGACTTGGATTGAGTTCTGGGCTATTTAGCTTTAGCCCGGTCCTCCCTAGCCAGCTTTCTCAGGCATTGCGGAATCAGTGAATGGAAGGTCTCTGTCTCTCTTCCAAATAAAAATAAGTAAAAAATTTTTAAAATGCAGAACTGAATTACATGAAAATAAACATCCACAAATTGCTTGCTCAGAATTTTATCAGCCAAAACCAATCCATTTTGCCTAACCTGCCAAAAAAAAAAAAAAACAAAAAACAAAAAACCTAGAATTCAGTTTCTTACTCTTTCTATATTGTAATCAGATCTGTGTTTATACTTCCGTTTGCTTGCTGTTGGCTTTCATGTTTGAGCTTAGGATGATTTTTTTCTCTGCTCCAATGAAAAGTTGAATTTTTAAGTTCTTATTTTATTTGAAAGGCAGATAGAGGCAGGTGGAGAAATATTTTCCATCCACTGGTTAATTCCCTAAATTCCTGCCATAGTCAGGGCTGGGTCAGGTGAAAGCCAGGAGTCCAGAACCTAGACTGGGGCTCCCACATTGTTGGCAGGGATCCAGCTACTTAAGCCATCATTTTTTATTTCCCCACATACACATTAGTAGCACGAAACTGGAATAGGAAGTAGAGCAAGGACTTGAGGACTTGAATCTAGGGAGGTACACTGGTATTCACACCAGTGTCTTTTTTTTTTTTTTTTTTTTTACAGGCAGAGTGGACAGTGAGAGAGAGAGACAGAGAGAAAGGTCTTCCTTTTTGCCGTTGATTCACTCTCCAATGGCCAGCGTGGCCGGCGCGCTGCGGCTGGCGCGCCGTGCTGATCCGATGGCAGGAGCCAGGTACTTCTCCTGGTCTCCCATGGGGTGCAGGGCCCAAGCACTTGGGCCATCCTCCACTGCACTCCCTGGCCACAGCAGAGAGCTGGCCTGGAAGAGGGGCAACCAGGACAGAATCTGGCGCCCCAACTGGGACTAGATCCCTGTGTGCCAGCGCCGCAAGGCAGAGAATTAGCCTAGTGAGCTGCGGCTCCGGCCCACACCAGTGTCTTAACCACTATTCCAAAGCCCACCCCAGTCTTTTTCCTTTTTTTAAGATGATAGATGGTAATAATTGACTTACTGTGCAAAGCACATGATTTTAAGCTAGTGGAAATTATTTTGCTAGGCGAAACAATCTTGTTAACCTTCCCCATAATATACTTTTTTAAAGATTTATTTATTTATATGAAAGGGTTACACAGAGGAGAGGAGAGGCACTCCCCAATTGTCCACAACAGCCAGAGCTGCGCCAATCCGAAGCCAGGAGCCAGGAGCTTCTTCTTGGTCTCCCACACGGGTGTAGGGGCACAAGGACTTGGGCCAACTTCCACTGCTTTCCCAGACCACAACAGAGAGCTGAATTTGAAGTGGAGCAGCCAGGACTTGAACTAGTGCCCATATGGGATGCAGGCACCGCAGGCGGTGGCTTTACCTGCTGCACTCTAACTCCGCCCCCCCCCAATAATATTTTTGGTTACATTATGGAATGAACTATTATAGAATTCTTGGTTTTATGATTTTTAAAGATTTATTTGGAAAAGGAGATTTACATATGGAGAGAATCTTGCCTCTGCTAATTTGCTTCCCAAATGGCTGCAACAGCTAGGGCTGGGCCAGGCTGAAGCCAGTAGCCTGGAACTCCATCTGGGTTTCCCATGTGTGTGGCAGCGAACCACTCTTTGAGCATCCTGTGCTGCTTTCCCAGGCACAATAGCAGGGAGCTAGATCCAGAAGCATGGCAGCCAAGACTTGAAGCTGTACTCAGGTGTGGCATGTTGGTGTTAAACAGGTGATGGCTTAACCCACTAGGCCACCATGCCAGGCTCCATAGGTGTTTTCTTAAAGATACTAAAAATTTAATTTTGATGGACTGTAATAGGTGGGGGTGGTAGATTTTATCTGGAAGTGAAAGCTGTATTGTTTAAGATTTTTTTGCCCTTAAATCTGATTGCCACAAATAAGAATGTGTTTGTAATTTTAAAACTGAATAATGCTTAAATAAGGCGGCTCTTTAGTGAAAAATATCTTTGAGAAATTGGCCTATTAGAATAATGTTAGATTTTTAATAAGTTTCCCTCCTATATATTAAATTTGAATGCATAGAATCTCACCTGGTCTGTGTGGGTTTTGTTTGTATGTAGAATGTTTATTCATTTTTAAAACCATGGTTTACTGAAGTGATCTTGTTCTGAGTTGATTCAGGTAAATGATGGAGTCTTTTTTTCTCTGGTTGATCTTTCAGGTTCGACATTTTTTTTCCTCCCCAAGGTTGAATTGACCAAAGCAATGGTTATGGAGAAGCCTAGTCCCCTGCTGGTCGGGCGGGAATTTGTGAGACAGTATTACACACTGTTGAACCAAGCCCCAGACATGCTACACAGGTAAGTACTTTTTCTCCTCATTCGCTGGTACTGAGTTTGTCATCCTGCAGGGTGGTGGCATAATAGCGCTTTACACATAAGTATCAGTAGATAATGGCTGTTAAAATTATATAAAAATATACAGCCATTATTAAGAAAAATTAGACTATGATAAACTTGCACATTATTTAGTTCAAATGAAGAAAATCCATAACTTTGTCCACGACCAGTTTTTTTTTTGCTTTTTGTATATACAGCGTACTATAATCCCCTGATGATAAACTGTGTATCATGCAGTGTTGCATAATAGAAAGCTGTTGATGTACAGAATTCTGTCATAGATGTCCCAAAATGTGTATTTCCTTGACCTGGACTTTTTTCCATTATATTTTACTAGCTTGCATGTTAGATACTGCATAGTTATTAGGTGCAAAAGAAATTTTACAAATTGATTTTAGAGATTGGCTTTTTTCTGAAAATGGAAAAATACTTTTTTTCAAAGACTTATTTATTTGGCAGTGAGGAGGAGAGATAGAAGTAGCTGTCTTCTATCTGCTGGTCCACTCTCCATGTGGCTACAACAGCCAAGGCTGAGTCTGGAGCTTCATTCTATGTGGATGGTGTGGGTCTAAGCACTTAAGTCATCTTCCACTGCCTTTCCCAAGCCATTACGGAACTGGAAAAGTGGAGCAGCCAGGACACAAACCAGTACCTAGATGGGCTGCTGGCATTGCAGGCAACAGTTACAATGCCTGGCCCTAGTGTTTTTTTTTGTTTGTTTGTTTTTTGACAGGCAGAGTGGACAGTGAGAGAGACAGACAGAGAGAAAGGTCTTCCTTTACCGTTGGTTCACCCTCCAATGGCCTGCGCGGCTGGCGTGCTGCGGCCGGCGCGCCGTGCTGATCCGATGGCAGGAGCCAGGTACTTCTCCTGGTCTCCCATGGGGTACAGGGCCCAAGCACTTGGGCCATCCTCCACTGCACTCCCTGGCCACAGCAGAGAGTTGGCCTGGAAGAGGGGCAACCGGGACAGAATCCGGCGCCTCGACTGGGACTAGAACCCGGTGTGCTGGCGCTGCAAGGCGGAGGATTAGCCTAGTGAGCCGCGGCGCTGGCAGCTTTTCTCTTTCTAAAAAACTTTATCTATTTCCTCTTAATCCTTACAAAAATCTTTGAAGATATTATTGGAGAGTTGAGTTTATTTTATAGATAAAGAAGCTCTTTGTGGAGGTGGAATGTTAAAATTTTGCTGAGATTCACTTGAGTTTTGGTGTTAAATTGTAACACTGGTTTCTGAATGTTTTTATCTTTACCCCCTCCACATTTTGTTGTGTTTTGTCAGAGTTGTATTCTCTGTCCTTAGCAGTTAAACAAATTTGGAGTTTAAAAAGGAGGGATTGGGAAGAACTAGTCAAATTCATTGCGTTTGTGTTTCTCTAAGGTGCCTGGATTCCATCTTAAATACATTGAAAATGGCTTAGCTAGCAGTGACTTGAGTTCTTGACAGATAGTTTTCCTTTATTAGCTTTAAAAGTAGAAAGGAAGGGGCCTGTGCTGTGGTGTAGTGGGTAAAGCCACTGCCTGGGGTGCCAGCATTCCATTTGGGCGTTGGTTCGAGTCCTGGCTGCTCCGTTTCCAATCCAGCTCTCTGCTGTGGCCTGGGAAAGCAATGGAAGATAGCCCAAGTAATTGGGCCCCTGCACTCACATGGTAGACCTGGAAGAAGCTCCTGGTTTCAGACTGGCACGGCTCCAGCTGTTGTGGCGATCTGGGGAGTGAACTAGAGGACGAAGACCTCTCTCTGTCTCTGCCTTTCTGTAACTCTACCTTTCAAATAAATCTTTAAAAAAAAAAAAAAAAAGTAGTTCTCCTGGGTTCTAGCTATGTCCTCATTTTTTTGGAGTAAGAATCTAGATACAGAAAACATGATGGGGCTCATTTGTGAAAAATATTTATTTGAAGACAGATACTACAAAATCCTAGTAGTACTTATTCCTGGGTTGGGGCAATGTGGGGTTGTGTATATTTTCCTAATAAACTTTTTCCCTCTAATTTATTTATTTGAAAGCCAGAGTTAGAGACAGAGATTCTGCATCTGCTGATTCACTCCCCAAATGGCCACAGTGGCCAGGGCTGGGCCATCCTGAAGCCAGCAGCTTCATCTGGCTCTCCCATGTGGGTGAGAGGGGCCCAAGGACTTAGGCCATCTTGCACTGTGCTCCTAGGCTCCTTAGCAGAGAGTTGGATTGGAAGTGGAGCAGCCGGGACAGGAACTGGTGCTTATATAGGATGCAGTTACACAGGCAGCAGCTAGTATATTGTTTCAATGAAAATGGAGTATTTGGAGCGTATGGATGAATGTGAAAGTCATGGAGAGTTAAAATCTGAGGTGGTTCTGCATCAGCACAAATAGTTACAAACTAAAGCAACCTGCGTGAGTTACTGTTTTATGTATACACATCCCCAGATAGAAAAGAGCTGTAAAGATCTTAAGAGTAGAGCTGTTCCTAGGCTTCCTCCCTGTTTGCTTTCTGAATGAAAACAGGAACTTCTGTCTTTAAGTGGCCTTCCTGACATGAATTACAAGATCCTCTCCAACATGATTATTCTACCCTGAAGCCTGGACTTAGGACTTGTAAAATAAATGTTCTGCCTCACTGGCAAAATCCATGCCCATTCAGCAGATGTTGACTGAGTGTAGGGCATGGGGAGATGATTGTGTAGATTTAGAAGATGAAAAAGAAAACACATTTCTACCTTCAATCATATGCTAATGAGATAGATGGCTACTGAACTTGAATAATAGATACCTGGTCTTAAAGATACATGAGGATGACCAGTAAATTACCTTCCTTTTTACGCAGATTTTATGGAAAGAACTCTTCTTACGTCCATGGGGGATTGGATTCAAATGGCAAGCCAGCGGATGCAGTTTATGGACAGAAAGTAAGTATGCCTAGTTGTATTCAGGTCTTTAAGCAGCTGAAAAATAACTAGCAAAGCAGGCGTATACATGCCCAATAGATTGATAATACTTAAAGATCACATTTCTCAATTTCTTAGAGATTTAGCTAATTGTGATTTGATTCATAAAATATTGTTGAAGTGCTTATGTGATGTCATATTTGTTCATTTTGAATGGTAATATTCTGAAGTTAGAAGATAGTTGAAGGGTCAGCGCTGTGGTGCAGCAGGTTAAAGCCATGGCATGCAGTGCTGACATCCCATTTGGTTGCCAGTTCAAGTCCCAGTTGGTCGCTCCAATTCCAGTCCAGCTCCCTGCTAATGCACCTGGGAGAGCAGGGAAGATGGCCCAGGTCCTTGGGCCCCCGCATCAATGTGGGAGACCCAGAGGAAGCTCCTCCCTTCTGGCTTCAGATGAGCTCAGCTCTAGCCATTGTGGCCATCTGCAGAGTGAACAGTAGATGGAAGACCTCTCTCCACCTCTTTCTGAAACTCTAATGAATAAAATATTTTTTTAAAAGATACTTGATGAGGATCATTTCTTTTGAAAAGCATTCATTTTGAATAGTTTTAAAGGTGTTAAGTGTGATCACTGAGAATAAAGTATAAAAAGCATTTAAAATAGGAGTGTTGTTTTGAAAGTTTTTTGGCTTTATTTTATTGTTGCTAGAAGCTATATAAATTATCAGTCATTAACACTTGCCTTGATTCCTTAGGAAATCCATAGGAAGGTGATGTCACAGAACTTCACCAATTGCCACACCAAGATTCGCCATGTTGATGCTCATGCTACTCTGAATGATGGTGTGGTGGTCCAGGTGATGGGACTGCTCTCCAATAATAACCAGGCTTTGAGGAGATTCATGCAGACATTTGTCCTTGCTCCTGAGGTATGTGTATAGGAATATATATAGGATTATAGTGATGCTATAGTAGTTTAATTTCACATATTTGATATGTAAAAAAAATTGAAAGATTGTATACATTTGTAAAATGTTTATGAAATTTCAACCTTACAGAAAAGTGGTAATAGTAAAACTGCTGCGTACACTTCACCTAGTGCCACTGTCAATGCTTGCTTGCTCACATGTGTGTAATCTTTTTCTATTTACCTTTAGTTTTTTCTCATAAAACACTTGAAAGTAAGTTGGAAACTTAGTGTTCTATCATCTTCAAATACTTAAGCGGCTGCTTTTTTTTAAAGATTGATCTAATTATTTGAAAGGCAGAATTAGATCTAATCCCATGCAGTCTTGGCATTCTGTTAAGAATTTATATAGGAGCTGGTGCTGTGGCATAGTGGGTAAAGCTGCTGCCTGCAGTGCTGGCATCCCATATGGGTGCCGGTTCAAGTCCTAGCTGTTCGATGTTTGATCCAGCTCTTTGGTATGGCCTGGGAAAGCAGTAGAAGATGGCCCAAGTGCTTGGGTGCCTGCACCCACATGGGAGATCCAGAGAAAGCTCCTGGCTCCTGGCTTCAGATCTGCGCAGCTCTGGCCTTTGAGGCCATCTGGGAAGTTAACCATCAGATGGAAGACCTCTCTCTCTGCCTCTGCCTTTCTGTAGCTCTGCCTTTCAAATAAATAAATAAATCTTTTTTTATTTTTAAAATAATTTATCACCAGTCATGGATTTGTCGTATAATTACTGGATTATAATCCATTATAATTATATTGTTTATAAAATATCCCAGATCTGGTCAGTGTTAACCCCTACAAGCTGCTCTTTAGTAAATTTTTTTTTTACTCCAGGATCATTTTTGAATTCAATTTTTTTTTTAAGGAGCCCTAGTTCTTTTTAATTAAGCTCATCACAAAAGGATCCTAGGTTTATGTTGAATAATTGCATTTGTACCCATTTCTAGACTTCACAAGGACAGGAGGCCTGTTTGCTTCACCAGCTAAAAGTGGCTTAATAAGGAATTGCTGAATAAATGATTATATTCTGTAGCATTAATCATAGTTATTTTCTGTTTAGGGAGGTGAGCCTAAAACCCATAGGCTTGGGGCCAGTGCTGTGACTCACTTGGTTAATCCTCCATCTGCGGCGCTGGCATCCCAGATGGGCGCCAGGTTCTAGTCCCGGTTGCTCCTCTTCCAGTCCAGCTCTCTGCTGTGGCCCGGGAAGGCAGTGGAGGATGGCCCAGGTGCTTGGGCCCTGCACCCCATGGGAGACCAGGAAGAAGCACCTGGCTCCTGGCACAGCGCTGGCTGTGGTGGCCATTTGGGGAGTGAACCAATGGAAGGAAGACCTTTCTCTCTATCTCTCTTTCACTATCTATAACTTTACCTGTCAAATAAATTAAAAAAAAAAAATTCTTGTGTAAATAAAGTGACTTTTTCTCTGATTTACTTGAAGTCATGGTCATGATTTTTAGACAAAGGTTTATAAAAAGTGTAGACTTGAGGGAGTTATAGATATGTGAAAAATTACATGAAGTGTGATTGTCAGTGAACAAGTTTAGTAATTCTTTTTTCTTAAGGGAAATACCTTATTTCAAACTAGTGTACTAAGTGTAAATGGTCTCACTTTAGTATAAATTATTTAAGCTGTCTTATTTAATATGCAAGGCATTGATGTACGTTAATATCCCTCTTTTGTACATGAGGAAATAGCCTTAGAAATTGAATAACTAGCAAATGACATAGTGGAATTTCCACTCAGGTATGTGTTAAGTAATGTGAGCAAGGTTTTTTTTCAGCTGCGCTATCTAGAATGTGTGTATCAGATGTCCCAGGATGCATATTTAGGGAATTTTAAGTATCTGTTAAAAGGATAATGTGAGTGCTTGTTAATGATTTGGGATGTAGACTGTGGCATCTGACCATACTCAGACTTTTTGAGCAAACAGTGTATTTTAGTGTAGTCTTTCTTCAGTCATAGTTAAAATAGGGGTTTTCAGTTGAGGCAGTGTTGACTTTTTGGGTTAGTTTTTTTGTTTAGGGCTGTGTCATGTGCATGGTACGCTATTGATAGCATCCCTGTCCTGTACTCAGCAGTTGCTGGTACCACTCTGCTGTGGTGAAGACTCAGATGTCTCCAGATGTTGGCACATGTCTTCCAGGGGAAGAATTGCCCGCAGTTTTAGGAACCGCTGTTGTACAGGGACCTGGCTTTTTAGAAGTCTGTTGAATAAGTGAAAATTTTTTGTTGGCATTGCAGGGTTCTGTTGCAAATAAATTCTATGTTCACAATGATATCTTCAGATACCAAGATGAGGTCTTTGGTGGCTTTGTCACTGAGCCTCAGGAGGGTAAGTACTCAAATACTGTAAGTTACTTGGTTAAATTTTTTAATTGTATCAGACCTTAAGAGACTGGGTTTCTTAAGTGTTGTCATTATACTCTGTTCTTTATCAGTTACTAGTGAACAGGTTAGCTTTTTCATGTTGAGATTGGGCGAAAGCATAAGACACTTAAAAGTGGACAGGTCTATTATACAATAGCCCTACCCTGCAGAAGGCCTGTTGACACTTGTACTACAGTGTACTTGGGTTAAAGGAATGCAGCCCTGACTTTAAGGAACCTAAGTCTTTTATAAGGTTAGTAAACATGATTGTGTTTTGCAACAGAGGGAAGTACTCTTCTTTTCCAAAGCTGTAATATTGAAAATGTCTGGAATCAAATGTTGTTGAAAAATAGCCTGGAATAAAGGGTAACTGTAGGAAATGGACAGAAACCAAAAAACCTGTAGAGAATAACCTCCAAAATGGTAATATTTGAGTGTTTTCTATGACTGAGATTGTTCCAGAGCTGTATATATTCTGTAATACACAGCTTTATAAATAGGTACTTTGGGTACCATTGTCCTCATTTAATAAATTTGGGCACCATGGGGCAGTAATGTGATAAAACTAGTAAGACAGTGTAGCCTCTATTCGATGACTTCAAATAGGACTTGACTCCATGTTCTTAATTGAATTAGTACCGCAGTCTTCATTTTCTCTATTAATTTGTGATATGATTTTACCAAATTGCCTTTAAAAAAAAAAAAAGTGTGTGTGTGTGTATGTGTATGGTATTTCATTGTCTTTTTGATTGCTCACAATAAATACACTGAAACAGAACATTTTTTTAAGTATCTTTTCCTTCTTCCTTAGAATCTGAGGAAGAAGTAGAGGAACCTGAGGAAAGGCAGCAGACACCTGAAGTGGTACCTGATGATTCAGGAACTTTCTATGACCAGACTGTCAGGTAAGGAAGATTTTTAATGATTTCCCAAAAGAAGGGTTTTGCTTTTGGATATGTGGTTTTATTTATTTATTTGACAGATAGAGTTAATAGGAAGAGACAGAGAGAAAGGGCTTCTTTCCGCTGGTTCACTCCCCAAATGGCCATAACAGCCAGGGCTGGGCCAAGCGGAAGCCAGGAGCTTCCTTCGTGTCTCCCATGTGGGTCCAGGTGCCCACACACTTGGGCCATCTTCTGCTTTCCCAGGTCATAGCACAGAGTTGGGTCGGAAGAGCAGCAACTGGTACACAAATGGCACCCATATGGGATGCTGGCACTGTAGGCAGAAGCTTAGCCTTCTGTGCCATGGTGCCAGCTCCAGTTTTTTTTCTTTTTATGAAATTTTATTTGTTTGAAAGGAAGAGAGAGAACAGAGCCAAAGATCTCTGGTCTGCTCTTGTTTCCCCAAATGCCTGTATTAGCTGGGGTTAAAGCCAGGAACCAGGAACTTATTCCAGGACTCCAGTATGGCTGGGAGGGATCCAAGTACTTGCAGCATCACCTGCTGGCTCTCAGGATGTGCATTAGCAACAAGTTGGTATCAGAAGTGGAGCCAGGACACAGACCCAGGCTCTCCAACAGGGATATGGGCATCCCAGGTGGTGTCTTCACTGTTGTACCAAGTGCTGACTCTTATTGCCTTTTTTTCCCCCCTTGTTGACCACATCAAACATGAATGGAATTTCTTATCAAGAATTTAATTCATTGAGGTATTGCATTAAATACTTTGGGGGGGGGGTACAAAATGTACAGGTATTGGAGATTAAGCATAAATTGACATTCACATGTGAGAGTAATTTTAGTATCAGTAATTTCATTACCACAGTGAGTGTATCATTGTGTCATAGGTTCTTTTTCTCTTGAATTGGAAAAGAAATGTGTTTTATAGGAATAGACTGCATGTTTATACTTGTTAACATGTAATGTCCCGAATGTTTATAATTCAGTGCTTAAAGAATATTTTTAGGTGTTTCTCAAGGTGTAGTGATGGACTAACTGTATTACTCACTTGGGTGGTTGGGTGAAAATGAAGATGCATGGTCCTATCCCAAACCTGTTGAATTAGAATTTTGGGAAGAAGAAGAGTTCCTGGTGATTTAGTTGGAACTTGAAGAATTTCCTGTTCTGGGGCCTGGTACTGTGACACAGTGAGTTAAGCTGTTGCCTCTGATGCTGGCATCCCATATGGGCACCAGCCCTAGTTGCTTCACTTCCGATTCAGCTCTCTGCTAATGCGCCTAGGAAAGCAATGGAAAATGGCTTAAGTGCCTGGGGCCCTTGCACTCATGTGGGAGATCTGGATGAAGCTCCGGGCTCCTGGCTTCTGTCTGGCTTAGCACTGACTGTTTGTGGACATTTGGGGAGTGAACCAGCAGTTGGAAGGTCTCTCTGTCTCCCCTCTCTGTAACTCAGCATTTCAAAGAAATAAGTAAATCTTGAAAAATATTTACGGTTTTGAAGCAATATTAATGATTTTTCTTTCTTCTGAAATTTTTTGAATTTTATTATAAGAATTCTGTGGGTGGTGAAATTCACATATAAAACTGAACCATTGTAACCATTTTAAGTCTGCAGCATAGTGGTGTTAACTCCATACACATTGTACAGTAGATCTTGAGAGAATGTTTTCATCTGGCAGAATAAACTATACCTGTTGAGAACAGAACTTTGTCTTCTCCCACCTCCCTGCCTATTACATTTGACGTTTTTGTTCTGTTGTGTGAGGAGTAAATTGTAATAGTTTCGGGATTGCAGCTGAATGATAAGTAAAGGTTTTGACTCATGTTCAGATTTTGCCAGTAAACTGATTCTAGTTAAGATTTGTTCATTGAGTGCTTTTTATTTTAACTCAGGTGTACAATTCTTATTTGGCAAGAGGGAGCTATTTTTGTCCGTAATTGAGAATTTTCTTGTAAGACAGGGGAAGGCTGAATGATTATTTTTTGTATTTTCTTGTGAAAGCAATGACTTGGAAGAACACCTAGAGGAACCCGTTACTGAACCAGAGCCTGATCCTGAACCAGAACCAGAACCAGAACCTGTCTCTGAAATCCAAGAGGAAAAGCCCGAGCCAGTATTAGAAGAAGCTACTCCTGAAGATGCTCAGAAGAGTTCTTCTCCAGCACCTGCAGACATAGCTCAGACAGCACAGGAAGACTTGAGGGTATGGAGAAGGCTTCACTTGTCTATTTCTACTTTATTTTTCAGAATTTCTTTTCTCCTCTACTGCTGCTTGGGTAACTTCCTCCACTGCTTACCCAGGTGCACTAGCCAGGAATTGGGTCAGAAGTAGGATGCCAGTGCTGCAGGCTGGGGCTTTAACCCCCTATGCCACACCACTGGCCCTGCTTGGTTAACTTTAATACTTAACGTTTTCATTTGTGGTTTAGGATACCTTTTTTTTTCGACAGGCAGAGTTAGACAGTGAGAGAGAGACAGAGAGAAAGGCCTTCCTCTCTGTTGGTTCACCCTGTAAGTGGCCGCTACGGCCAGCGCACTGCACCGATTCGAAACCAAGAGCCAGATGCTTCCTCCTGGTCTCCCATGAGGTTGCACGGCCCAAGGACCTGAGCCATCCTCCACTGCACTCCTGGGCCACAACAGAGAGCTAGACTGGAAGAGGAGCAACCGGGACAGAACCGGCACCCCAACTGGGACTAGAACCCCAGGGTGCCGGTGCCACAGGTGGAGGATTAGCCTAGTGAGCCGTGGCACCAGCCTAGGGTACCTTATTAAATATTGAGCCATCCCTCAGTTAAGAAGGAAGATGCCTATTGCTTTTTAACAACATAAGTAACTGCCCTGCCCCCCTTAACTTGCATACCTATTGCACTATAAATTTCAGGTGCCATTTTACCACTATGTCATTGTAAAATATTTCATCTTTAAACTGGTAAATATTTGTTAAGCAAATGGATATCATTTTTTTTAAGATAACATGGTGAAATCTTGGTAACAGTAGTAGTAGGAAGGTAACTTCTAATTAAAATGTCTGATTTCAGAAGTTTGAAGCTTTTCTGTTACCTCTCCTGAGTCCCATCAGTGTGTGTGGAAATACTGACTTTTGCTTGCACATTTCAAATAGGTTGATTGGGTCGAGAGTGGATGATAGTATAGTAGTGCAGTTAGAGAGATGATAGCTTGGGTTATGACTTGGCAGTGGAGATGGAAATGAAATAATTGGGTCAAATAACAGGTTCTGATGATTTTTTAAGTGGGCAGTTTTAAAGTGTTCAAGATGATTGTACACTCTGTATAATTGGATCCATGTTTGTAGAGTGGATCAGTTCAGTCATGAAGAGCTGAGCTAGTTTTGGGGAGAGAATTTTCTTTGATTCATAAACTTGAAATTGACTAAAAGTAGCTTCCTTTTTTCTAATTTGGCTGATGCCAAAGAATCCCCCTCCTTCTCACCCAGCCTGAAGCAGTGTTATTTTCTCGGCTGCCACCAGGAGAGTGCCTGTGGTGTGCTGCCAAGTTGGTCTGCCTGGTGCTCTGACACAGGCAGCAGCTGCTCCTTCTTCCCCCAAGGAATTATAATAACTAAATATTGAAGAGGTGAAATAAAGAAACCTCAAGGAACTCCATCCTGCCTATAAGAATTATTATGTGTATACAAAAGGTATTCTAAAAGTTCATGAAAAATGCATATTATGAAAAAACTATAAATGGATTTTACCATTTTTTTTCTTTTGATCTTGGGAATGGACATTTAACCTATGTGGTTAAGATGCCCACCTCAGAGTACCTGAGTTTGATTCCTGGTTATGGTGTCTGTCTACAATTTCCTGCTAGTGTATACCCTGTAAGACAGCGGTGATGTCTCAAATAGTTGGGTTCTTACCACGTATGTGGGGGACATGATTGTGTTCTTGGCTTCCACCTTTAGCCTGACACAGTCCCAGCTGTTGTAGGCACTTAGCATGAACCAGTGGCTGAGAGCTCTCTGTCTCAGATAAATTAATACTAGAAAACTTTCTTAAAATCCATTTTCTGTTAATTTTTTAAAATATTAAGGTGTACAGATTCATGTATTTCACATATATAGATTCAGGGACATAGTGATACTTCCTATCTTACCCATGCTCTCACCCTTTCTCTTCCCTCTCCTGTTCCCACTCTTAATTTTTACATATATCTATTTTCAGTTTACTTTATACTCATAAGATCAACCCTACACTAAATAAAAAGTTCAACAGATAGTATGAAGGAAGAACTGTTCCTCAGCATTAGCGACAAGGGCTGTAAATGATCATGAAATCTCAGAATGTCAATTTTCACGCCAATACATTGCAGTTTAGGTACTCAGTTACCGCAGATCAGGGATAACAGGGTATCTATCTGTCTTTTTGGGATTGACTTATTTCACTAAGTAATGGTTTCCAGTTAACATTCATTTTGTTGCAAAAGACAGGATTTCCTTTTTCTACTGGTGAGTAGTATTCCATAGTTTATCTAGTCATCAGCTGATAAACTGATTAACTTATTTTAATTATATTTTCTGCTAAATTTTTGAAGCGCCTTTGTATTTATCTATAGGAAATCAAGAATGGTAGCTCTTCTGTTTTGGAATATATTGTAACCATGTTATGTTGATGTTCCCTTAGACATTTTCTTGGGCATCTGTGACCAGTAAGAACCTTCCACCCAGTGGAGCTGTTCCAGTTACTGGGATACCACCTCATGTTGTTAAAGTTCCAGCTTCACAAGTAAGAGTTTATAAACACTTGCACTCAGGCAAATTTACAGTTACATTCATAATTTAATTATACAGAGGTTTTGAGAAGGTGGGAATTGGTATATAGGGCAGAGCAGGGTAGAGAGTTTTCATTTCCTAGCTTGTCTTTATATTGTTAGCTGTGAAATTTACAAGAAAAATGCTACACTTGCTTTGTTCTTTACAATAATGTTTTTCAGCCCCGTCCAGAGTCTAAGCCTGAATCTCAGATTCCACCGCAGAGGCCTCAGAGGGATCAAAGAGTGAGAGAGCAACGAATAAACATTCCTCCCCAGAGGGGCCCCAGGCCAAGTAAGAGCTTGGAAGGGTGATTTCTATTGTCTGGGGTATTTTGAGGTTAGGGCTTATTTGGGGAGGGGGGGCAATTGTTATTTGTGCACTCTAAAAATACTTCAGGTTAATTGGATTGCTTGTATCTGGAGTGCAGGGAAGACAGTTGTGTTAACAGTCCCTGTTTATCTTGACTTTGATTGGTATGTTTGTTTCTTTAAGTTCGTGAGCCTGGAGAGCAAGGTGATGTTGAACCCCGAAGAATTGTGAGACACCCTGACAGTCACCAGCTCTTCATTGGCAATCTGCCTCATGAGGTGGACAAATCGGAACTGAAAGATTTCTTTCAAAGTAAGTTATTAAGTGTTGAACATATAAGTGCATCACTGTCAAATAGAAATAGAAGATAAGCAATAAATACGTAGTTTTGAGTTTTTTAACAATTATGTTTTTTAAAAAAAAACTGGATAATTCAGTTTTAATGTTTATTCAGTTATGTGTAAAACATAACCATTCAGTATGTGAAAGTACAAGAGATAAAGGTTGAGCCTCCCTAAGGTGGAAATAGAAAATTACCCAAGCTTTCTGAGTGCTAAGCATGGTGCCACATGTGGAAAATTCCATACTTCTGTGACAGGTTGTCCTCAAAACACAGGCATAGGAACAATAGTACATAAACGTACCTTCAGTTTCTGTTGAGACTTAGAATTCATCCTAAAGTATATCTTACATATACAAATGCAGATATTTTGAAATCTGAAAAAATCTGAAGCACGTTGGTTTGCAAGCATTTTAGATAAGGGACACTCAACCTGTGTTTTATATTTCTGGCACCTTTCAGTGCATACTGTTTCCATATGTGTAGTGGCTGCTGTTCTGAATGGTACTCTTTGTTTAAAGGAAACACTCTACTAAGAATCTTTGTCATTTGGCAGATTATGGGAATGTGGTGGAGTTGCGCATCAACAGTGGTGGAAAGCTGCCCAATTTTGGTTTTGTTGTATTTGATGATTCTGAGCCTGTTCAGAAGGTCCTTAGCAACAGGGTAAGCTGATTCTTACCTTTCTAATTCCATTTTCCTGTAAACTTTTTGTTGTATCCCATTTTATGGCCAATATGTTTAGGTTGGCCTTGAATTCAAATCTTAGAGAATGTAATAAACCCAGTGGACCAGACAAGATCCTGATAAATTACTTCCCAGTTACTTGTCCCAAGACTAAGCAGTATGTTTATTTATTTATTTTTTAAAGATTTATTTATTTTAAAGGCAGAGTTGGGCAGAGGCAGAGAGAGGTCTTCCATCCGCAGGTTCACTCCCCAAATGGCAGCAATGGCTGGAGCTGCACTGATCCGAAGCCAGGAGCCAGGAGCTCAAGGAGTTGGGCCATCTTTTACTGCTTTCCCAGGCCTTAGCAGAGAGCTGGATTAGAAGTGGAGCAGCTGGGACTTGAACGGGCACCTATATGGGAAGCCAGCACTGCAGGTGGTGGCATTAACCGCTGTGCCACAGTGCCGGCCCCTCTTTTTTTCTTTTTTTAAAACAAAGAATTGTGCATTTGAAAGTAGAGTGACTGGAAAATACTCTGGCTGCTGGTTTACTCCCCAAATGGCTGCAGTGGCTGAAGCCAGGCCAGGCCAAAACCAGGAGTCCAGAACTTCATCTGGGTTTCTCACATAGTTGTAGGGTCCCAGCCACAGCTACTTCCCAGGTACATTGGCAGGGATCAGAAGTGGAGCTGCTGGCACTTGAGCCTGTGTTCTGATACGGGATGCCGGCAGTTTAGCACTTTCTGCCGCAGTGCTGGCTCCGCTGGTTTTTTTGTTTTGCTTTGTTTTGTTGTGTTTTTTTTTGTTGTTTTGATAGCCCGTAAGCACACTGAGTGAAGTCAGATCACTTTGCTTCTTACAGCCCATCATGTTCAGAGGTGAAGTCCGTCTGAATGTGGAAGAGAAGAAGACTCGAGCTGCTAGGGAGGGAGATCGTCGCGATAACCGCCTGCGGGGACCTGGAGGCCCTCGAGGTGGGCTGGGTGGTGGAATGCGAGGCCCTCCCCGTGGAGGCATGGTGCAGAAACCCGGATTCGGAGTGGGAAGGGGGATTGCTCCACGGCAATGAATTACCCATCGCTGATCATCACACAGCCGTACAAACCCCAGCTCCTGCAGAGTGGTGAATTTCTTCAACCAGCCTTTCTTGGAGTATGACCTAGTCTGTTATAAACTGCTTACGTTTGTACAACTTCACTTCTCTTGTGTTAATGGTGTGTGCTCCTTTTCCCTCCTTCTTCCCTTTAGTCCTTCACTTCCAATTTTGTGGAATGATATTTTAGGAGTATTGGATTTATAAAGAAGATAAAGACAAAAGACTGAATTTCCTTGCTTACACTTTGCATATACAGACTGGATTTTTTTAAAATAGCCATTTCCCCAAAGGAATGTGTCTTGCTTATTACTGACATTTGGTATGTTTCATTCATTGGAATATTCTTATTTTCTACATGTTCCAGAAACCTGTGAGATACAGGATTTGATAAACATTTTGAAGGCAAGAAAAATCCAATTGTTCTATGAGAGTCATGACCTTCTGGTGTAGAAAAGTTGCCACTGAAAAATTTAACAAGTTTCATTTTCTCTAGTATGGCTAAAAACTGAATAAAAGGTGTTAATAGAGTTAATTTGTTTTGGTATGTGATCACAAAACAATTCTGAAACACTGTTTCTACCACTAAAACTTAAATTGTGAGATAGGTTTTAAATGTGTAGTATGCAACTGATGAGCTTTTCTTGAACTGTTAGAATTTTTTTGAAGTAGAATTTTTTTCATGTTTAATTTGTATTTGTAAAAAAAAATAGAAAACAAAAACAAAAAAAGTCCCGAAATCCAAATAACAAAAAACCAGAGCAAAACTGTTGTGCCTTCTCTTTGATTCCAGTCTTGACAATTGTTTAAACAAAAATAAATTAAAAAAAATTCTAGATTTGTTTTTACCAGGTTAAGAGTATGTGGGAAATTGTAGAATCCCTTTATCAACACCTTGTTTGTTTGTCATCTGTTAACATTTGTTATGCCTTATTCTAAAATTGAGTCTCAAACTGGAATGCCTTTGAGGACAGATATTTCTATAGAGGTCCTTTGACCTAAATAGTTCTGCATTTGTATTAAGTTTTATTTTGATATCTAACCGGATTCCTAATCATAGCCCATAAGAAGGAATGTGACTTTAATATTGGACTTCACTACTTCACTGATATACTCGAGTGTCTGCAATTTTTTTTTCCTTTAAATCATAGCCATATGGTAAATTTTCTATTTTGTTAAGGTTCTCTTTTATTGATGGGCATGCAGTGGGTATTTCTTGGAAATGGCCAAATTTTTATTAAAATATTTCTGGAAGAAAATTTAATCTGGTAATATAGACTAATACTCGTTTCGCATACTATGTTATTTGTTGAGTGTTGTGTGTGAGGGTGTGAGGTGGGTGAAGGTTTTGTTTACACAAATGTGAAACAAGCCTTTGTGTGATAACTGATCACTAATGGAAGGACAACTAAGTTGTCAGTTTAATTTATTTTCTTAACAGCGTTCCTCTGCAGGACTGTCATTGGAGCAATAGTATAGGAATAAGAATGTTTCATTTTGCAGAAACTGTTGGCTGTGAAGGGGTTGGATAAGTGTTAAATGAATTTTGATATTACCAATTTGGTCCCGCTGTTTCAAATACTTGAAAAAATGGTAGCATCTTCTTCATATAAAGAAACTTAGGCGACTGAGTCATTTGGCTCTTAAATAACTCTTTGGTAACCACTTCATTTGACCCACGCCTGTCATAATTGGAAAAAGCTTGCACTTTTGTAGCTTATGTTAAGCTTGTTTTGAAAAGAAAGCTAGCCTGAGATCCTTTTGAGAAAAACAAATGGCAGTAACTTTGAAGTCAAAAGGTTTTACTGATGAGTGCGCAATCATACATGTGAAATCAAGGGTTCTTCTTACTCAGAGGTTTAAAGTGCTGAGTAGATACAGTGATTCTCAAATTCTAGTTATGTCATAGAGGGTGTTTCAAAATAAGTGAGATGTGGGGAGAGTGAGAGAGACTATCTGGTGTCATTGGATTGGGGCCAAGGACACCAAATATTTTCTAACAGTGAAGCAAGCCTTTTTTCTTTTCTTTTTTTTTCTTTTTCTTTTTTTTTTTTTGACAGGTAGAGTGGACAGTGAGAGAGAGACAGAGAGAAAGGTCTTCCCTTGCCATTGGTTCACCCTCCAATGGCCGCTGTGGCCGGCGCGCTGCGGCCGGTGCACCGTGCTGATCCGATGGCAGGAGCCAGGTACTTCTCCTGGTCTCCCATGGGGTGCAGGGCTCAAGCACTTGGGCCATCCTCCACTGCACTCCCTGGCCACAGCAGAGAGCTGGCCTGGAAGAGGGGCAACCGGGACAGAATCCAGCACCCCGACCGGGACTAGAACCGGGTGTGCCGGCGCCGCAAGGTGGAGGATTAGCCTAGTGAGCCGCGGCGCCAGCCATCTTTTAAGAGCCCTAATGTTACCTATGGCTGTGGATGGGTAGACTGGTGCAGGTGGGGAAGTAGGAATAGTTTGATTCTTTTGAAATTTAGCCTCAGACAAATAATTAGGAAATGGGAATCTTTTATGGAATTACAGTACCATTTATCTACTCTTATGTAATTAATATTCTGATTTTTTGCCATTATATGTACCGTGTGTGTGTGTGTGTGTGTGTGTTTAAATATGAAGAGTTAGTAGCAGTGTATGCTAAATGCTGCTTGTGAATTAATGCAGGGAATCACTGCATAATCTCAGAAAACAAATAATTTTCCCAGTAATTATAAGTCATCAAAATTGGGATGATTGTAGAGTTTTGAATAGTGAGATTTAGCATCATACTCAACACTGTTAAGAATCCCGATACCATACTTTACATTGTTGCATATTACATAAACATAGGAGCTAAAGTATGCATATAATCATGCAGCTATACAGTGAAAGCAAAACAGCAGCTCATCATTGTCAACATTTTTCGTATTTCAAGATGTAATTTTCCATCGTAGAAAATAGCCCAATATATAGTTCCTTCCTGCTGAGCTTAAAACTTTTTTTTAAAAGCTTTATTTATTTTTATTTGAAAGTCAGAGTTACACAGAGAGAGAGGTCTTCCATCCGATGGTTCACTCCCCAGTTGACCACAACAGCTGGAGCTGCGCTGATCCAAAGCCAGGAGCTTCTGGGTCTCCCACACGGGTGCAGGGACCGAAGGAGTTGGGCCATCTTCTACTGCTTTCCCAGGCCATAGCAGAGAGCTGGATGGGAAGTGGAGCAGCTGGGACTAGAACTGGCGCTCATATGGGATGCCGGCGCTTCAGACCAGGCCGTTAACCCACTGCGCCACAATGCGGGCCCTGAGCTTAAAACTCTTGAGCCATGAGTATTTTAAATTAGATGAGTTTGTTAGATGTTATCCCCAGAGTAGCAAAGGAGTAAGAAACTGTGTCAGAGCTTTTTAATAACTAGACCCTTCAGTCATCCATGTGGCAAGGACCATGTTGACCTCAAAAATTGATGCTTTTTCCTCTAGAACCATGATGCATACCCATTTGAGTTTCAGTGAGATGCAGTGAATATTACTGTAATGAAAGTACTGCATGGAGAAGTGAGTCTAGAAGACATTCGGAACAAGGTTGGCATTGCGATTCATTACTTGTAGTGCAAATGAGATTATTAGACTTGGATTTTTGTAGGTCTCCTTTTAGTTTGCAGATTTTGTGTTGTACCATGATGATAGGGATTTAGTCTTGTTATTTTCTTATGTAGTTTAATAAAAATTTAGAGCATTTAGAATCTGGATGTGCATGGTAACAATATTTTTATTTTATAGCATAACTAAGGTGAGTTGATAGAAGTTATATTTTATGTGCATAACTGCCATTCCTGATACTTTTCTTCCTCCCTGTTTTTGAAAACTTGTAGACTTAAATGATTTAGTGGAAAATGGCACTTTATAGAAGGCAACTTGTGAGACTATAAGAAATAATATTCCTATGAAATTAGTTTTGTAGACAGATCACTGTTTATGCTGAGTGATAATTCTTTTAAGTAAATGGTATCATTATTAAGATCTACTGATCTAAAGATGTCTTGCATTTCAGTTTACTTTTGGTGCTACTTAAAAGAATTTCTGCAGAACTCCATACCTTGTGAAAGAAGCATCATCATCAACATTTAGTTGAAATAGGGTTTTAGCGAGCTTCCCAGTTTACCAAAAGAGGGCAGTGGACAACTAGAGAACCCTCAACAAATGTTTCATAAACTTAGCAGTGTCACACATGGCTGTGGGGTGGGTTAAAATTGCTGATCAAGTAATAGCTCCATGGTGCTAAATGATTAGGATTTCTAGTTTTAAGATAGTAGGGTCTCTGGGGGCTTATGTTTGTTATTGTGATACTGAGGTTCTGGGGACCATAAGCATAGGCTTTTGAACTTTTAGCTAGGCTATAGTAAAGAAATGGTGGCTCATGAGATAAAACTTATTTCTGTTTACATTGTTCTCAGTGGATGTGTAACTAGCTCAAGATGATGTTGAAGTTAGACTGTAACAGTCTCAGAACATGGCCTGGATGAGTAACAAGTTGATAGCATCTAAAACCCTTATCCAGTTTGAGTTTTGAGTATAGTTGTATGATAACTTAGAAACAAGGTTTTTCAGTTTTGTAGGACTTGTTTTGAAAACCCTGGACAGTCTCCTCTCTTCCACAAGTATCCACTTGAACCCAGTAGCTTCTCTTTAATTCCCTATAAGAAGGAGGTGATATAGAAAATCTGTTCCATTGGTAATGCCATAAACTATGTGACTTAGTGAATTACACCTAGAAATGTGGTCAGTGTCCCAGATTTGTAAGGGCCAGCATGCAGTATGTGTTTAAAAACAAAAATTAGGGATTTGTATGAGAAAGTTACTGTTGGATTTAACGAGTCTTTATTTTTCAGGAGCCTACTTAGGGGAAGGCTGATTATATTTTTGGTAGCAGTTAGAAGGAAGATCATAGCCTCTTTAATCTGGATAAGACAGTTTTCACTGTTGTAATTAAAACTGCTTTTGTTACTGATTCCCCTTCTCCCCTTCCCTCCCCTTTGATGTCACATGTTTGACTTTGGATTTGTTTACATTTTAACATTTTGTTACATATACATGTTGTATATACACTGTGATTTGGGCTCTCTAAATGAAGACCTTACACCAAGACGCTGAGATAACGAAGTGTGTATGGGGGTGGGGGTGGGAGAACAACTTCCCTTTTTAACATTTAATGCACATTTAAGTAATAGAACACATTTTAAAAATGAATTTTGTATAGCAGATACTAGCTTTTGAAAGAGTTGGGGTAGAGTTTAAAGGAATAGGGATTGTTTATATGGAGAAACATTTCTTTGTGAGAAAGGTTTTCTTCCCATTGTGATTGTTGCCACTAGGAACAGAAGATCCTCCTAGAGTGTTAGTGCAGGAAAGGACTGAGGTTGTCCAGTCCCTTCATTTTACAGAAGATAAAGATGGCTCAGAGATGTAACAGGGAGTCCACATCTGCTTGCCTTCTGGGACCAGCACTCTGTGTTTGGGCTAGGAAGGGAGGCCAGAGCTGTTAAAGGTCAAGCTCTAAGGAGAAACGGGAAGGCACCACATTTTATATGCTTGCCCCATTGGTTCCATAGTTGAGTTTTCATAACCTAGATTTTCTCTATTAATGCCCAGCTCTACCAGGGCTTTGTCTAAGGACGATAACTTTTGCTCCCCTCAGGGATGGGTTTACTACTAGCTGTCAGAAAGCTATTGGGTATCCTAATGTATTAATAGCTGAAACTCAGCTGTAATTGTCTGGCACATCCTTCAGCATTTTGCATTCTGTACATTGTGGTGCTTTTTCTACCTTGTATTGTTACCACTGTAAGCTCCTAGGGGGCAGCAGTGTGGTCTTAGGCGTGTACCCTGTTCGTGTCTGGCAGTGCTGTGTATGTAGCCAGGCATTGCTGATTCCCTCGCTGCAAGTGCCTTCTCTCTTCCCTGAAGACAGACTTGAATCTGCACCCTAACTTTCCAGTCTCTTGCCTTCTGAATTGTTTCAAGACCCAGTTCATGAACTGTTGTTGTTGTTTCCTAACAAAAGATGTGTAGCACGTATGGGGAGTCCTCTTTTGGGGCTGATCTGTCTGGAGTTGGAAGAGAGGAACAAGTTCATTCTCCCACACTTCCCCTCTGCATTGTCCCATCATTTTTTTGAACTGTGTTCCTAGAGCACTTTATTACTTTCTCACAGTTGATCGTGTACCCCTACCACCTTAGAGTTAGAATTATGTTACTTGTTTTACTGCTTTATTGGACTTCAAGCTCCTAGAGGACAGGGCTGGGGGATTATTTCCTGTATTCTATCAGAAAGTACAATGACTATACTGGAGTATCAAAATGATAAATTAAGTGAGTCAAAGAACAATATATTTTTCTGTTTTTATTTTGACAAGGGAGGCATGCCTGGAGATAGGTCTTAATTCAGTGAATATTAAGGACTGTGAACTTCAGTGGAGGATATTTTGGGGGAGGGATTTGAGAGCAGGGGCAGAGGTGGGAGGAACTCACTGGCTGTTTAAGGCACCTCCAACTCTGAGCTGGTTACTCAGCCATTTCTTACTGATTGTGCCTGGCATGTCCCAGGCACTTGGCAGAAGAATTTTCTGTGGAATTTTTCTTTTTGCAACCTTGTCTCTTCATTGCTCTTAGAGTTCATAACATCACCCATGCTACAAGTCCAAGTCAGCTGCTTCCTTTTTTAACTCCTGTGTCCAGTCTCCCAGCTGAGTCCTGTCCGTTCTACCTCAAGTCTTCCATCCCTCCTCCTCACTTAGGCAGTTTCTGTAGGCTCTCAGCTTCACTTAACCTCTTCTTAGTCCAGACTACTTTATATATAATACTAGATTCATCTTATGGAAACAAAAGCTCTGACCATGTATCCCACGTGTGTTCTATCTCCCCTACTAGACTGTAAGCTCCTTATGGGCAGGATCTATGTCTGAGTCATCTTTGTATCTCCCATAGCATCTTAACCAATAAATATTTCTTGAATGAACAAACGAATTCTGATTTCTCAACATAAAGCATTGTCTAAAGTGAAGTGTCTTCCAGATCATACATAGGTTTCTCTTCAGGATAATCTGGAGAATATGAAAGTTCTCTCCCATATAAAGTTGGTGAAATAGTAACAATTATGAGGTAACCACAGAGAAAATTTCAGAAAACTTTTAATTTTTTTCCATTGGAATCAGCATGGATATGGGCATATGGATGGTTCAATAAATACATTTTTATATACATGTATCACAGAAATTTTACATTCCATCTTCAAACTGCAGAAATAGATTTGTTTTACAAGCCAAAAATAACTGCCAATGACGTTATGATTGCATGCAAAGAAAAGAGTTTAGGGGCTAAAGGGAATTGGCTTGTTCAAGGGAATTGAGTGTCCAGTGAGAAGTAAAAATGTTACATTAAGGAAGCATTTGCTTAACACGCTGCTTAAGGTGGTAGCCAAACAAATCCTTAACTGCAGCATTAAGGCCATACCAAGTTTATACATATGTACAAAGAAGTTTCCATATAAAAGACATAACTGTCAACATTTGCTTCTGGGAAAGATGAGGAACTTTGTAATTCTGACCCAGTTTTCTAGGCCAATTCGTTAATATGTTCCCCAGGCTACTTAGAAATCTCTTCTACTGTGGCTAGCTGTCAGTTAACCTGGGCTTGTGTGCCTTGTCTCAGTGTGAAAGCATGGATCACCTTGAACCTCTTTGATCATGGGTGATGAGGCACTCAACTGCACAGCCAGGCGTACACTCATTTCTTACATCCCCCTAAAGTATTTGGAATTACAGTCAGAACTTTAACTTGTCATCTTACCTGTAAGAGACTGCACAGTAGTGCTGGCATTGTGACCTGAAGAATTATACAATGCCTTCCTGTTCTTTGGGGTTAAAATAACATCTTGAATAGTGTATTAATGAAGCAAAGTGTTTGGTTTCAGAAAATACCCTCTAGCTGTGGAGAGTTAATATTTAACTTTTACCCTTCCTGATACACGACACACATAAGTTGGCTGCTACCTTTTTGGGGAAACTGTAAAATTAGTTGAAGAATAACCTGGGATTTACTCTTTTGCTTAAACCAGCTTTGAAGACAAAGGGTATGTCTTTAGGACCAATGTCCAAATGGGGAAAACACAAAGGGCGGGGTCTTTGGAGGTGACGAATTACCCCAAAATCTGCTTTGGCTGGGGTCAGGTGAGCTTGAGATTACGTGGTCTGATACTGTTGTCAAAAACTGGCCTATCTTAAATGGTGAATAGATCCTGAACCAACTAAGAGAAACTATGTTTTCAAAAAAAAGATACCTTTCCCTCAAGTGACTGAACCATGTTGTGACTTGTTTTGGAATGTTTGAGATCAATCTTAAGTTCTGTTTGTGTTGTCTTAGCAACAAATTGGTATCTCTCTAGTAGATCTGCTCATTTCTAGTTCTGCCATGGGCCAATTTCCAAGTGTGGCTCTGGCCTATTCATAACCGTGCCTGCAAGGTAATTTCATCTCCTACCATAATTTTCCCCAGACCAGTCCGGTTTGAGGATGCAATTTCTGGAAATGATGATTTGGAAGATGATGAACATGCACAGAATGAGCTGTCCCTGCACATTCCAGCCACGCAGCAACCACTCTTTACCCAAAATGACCCTACTTAATTATGTGACAGTTATGTGCATTAGCTCTGGATGGAGAGATTTTAACCAGTGGGTCTTTTGGGATGCTGATCTACACAACCAGACTAGAATACCCTTTGACAGTGTCTTAGTCCCTTTGTGGGTCACTTTGTGCATTTCAGGTCCATAGCAGCAAAGGCATGTATTTTGCCATTTTAAAACCTTATGTGCAAGTCACTGAGGTCCTTGCTGTTTATTTTGAAGGTAAGATTCGGACTTCTTAGCTTTTTTTTTAAGTTTTGAGAATGTTACACCATCCTTTTGTTTGTCTGATATGTACAAAAATCACATGAAGTGGGTATTTTATCTGTGTCCCATATGCAAAGTAGCAAGATGGACCTCTTTGGGATTTAATTAACTGTTTAGTGCTGAAAATATCATGGCTTAAGTAGTGCAAGGTTGGACCATTAAATTATGATGTATAAATTTAAAATGCTCTGAGATAATGCCTTTTGGGAATATCCAATTCTTAAGCCTCTTTGACCCAACTCAAGCTAAATTGGCATGTTGAACATGGTGCACTTTTAAATGAGGTAGAAGTACATCTAATGTGGAAAAATGATCTTAGCAAACTAGTATGTAAGCACCACTTTTTAAATAAATCTGGGGGCATCTTTGACTAGGATTGGTAATGCCTTTCCCCAAAACACTCTTTCTAAAGAATTTACTTGAGGTAACTTACTGTGCAAAAAACTATTATATGTAATAACTTCCTCTAGCAATGACTTGATACAAATCAGTTACACTTCTCTCTCTTTCTGTTCATGTTTGGCTTTTTCCCTGTTTTTCTTTGTCGATGTGGTTTCAGGCTTTGAATAGAGATGTTGTCTAGAGTGGGAGAAGTGATTTCAGATGCAACCGAGAATAAGAAGACATGCTAGACTATACTTTCCCTACAGGTATGCGATATTTAATATTTCAGTTGATCAACAAAAGGTAATAGTTGGAGCACAAACTTGCCTTAGAAATACTTCCATTATACTAAGTATTGGCTTGATAACTCCACAAATAATTTTTTCAGAGTCATTGTAGAATAGCAAACCCATTGAGAACCATGACTTCACCATCTCTCCATCCCCTTTCTAGTGCCTGCCTAGCACAAACTAAATGCTTATTACTTGAGTTACATTGATATTCTTTAAGACATGAATTCCTAGTGGGTGCCATGAAGGAAAAGGTTACCTTTCTCCAAAATGCAGAAAGATCTGTATTGAGCTGGAAGTTGGGGTTGGTGGTAAGGAGAATGAGCTGGTGCACTCCTGAAGGAATGCCTTCCGGATTTGCCTTTGGCAACTGCCATTGGGAGTCCGGACCCTGGTTTCTGCATTGAAGGTTGTTCAGATGTATTCTGCCTCTGTCCTGCCCTTCAGCCAAACAGATAATTGCTCGCTCATCTGTGCCCTTATTTTTTACCTCCATATTGTTGCTCGTGCTATTCTCTCTGCTGGAACTCCCTGTCCCCATCTGTCAGAATCTCTTCTGTTCCTTTATGTTACTGCTCAGATCGCCTTGAATGAAACATTCCATAATTTATTTCCTGCCCCTCCACAGGGGCCGGAACAACCCTTCCTCTGTTACACACTTCCTTCATTTTGTGTTAATAACTAGGTACTTTTCTGCTCCTGTATTATGGGAAATGCACGTGTTTTTCATTCTGATGTCCTGTTTTGGTGGTGCCACTGACTTGTAGATTTAATAAATAGCAAGTAGAAGGAGGATACATACAGGGGGGTTTAAAGAAACTGATAGAATAACTAGAAGTATTATATAAGCATACACTATTTATTTATTTATTTATTTGACAGAGTTAGATAGTGAGAGACAGAGAGACAGAGAAAAAGGTCTTCCTTCTGTTGGTTCACCCCTAAATGGCCGCTACGGCCGGAGCTACATGGATCCGAAGCCAGGAGCCAGGTGCTTCCTCCTGGTATCCAACGTGGGTGCAGGCGCCCAAGCACTTGGGTCATCCTCCACTGCCTTCCTGGGCCACAGCAGAGAGCTGGACTAGAAGAAGGGACTGGAACCCTGTGCCTTTATAGGATGTCGGTGCCACAGGTGGAGGATTAACCAAGTAAGCCGTGGCGCTGGCCCCATAAGCATATACTATTTTATAATAAAATTTATATTGTATTCTTGGCTATGACACTAACTTTTGAGCCTATTCTCATATCTTGAAAGGCTAAATGCTTCCTCTGGGCAATTGATACAATCATCCAAAGGCAGCACATAGCAGTTGCCTGGAGGCCCACTTTGCCATATTTGGAGTCACTAAGTAGGGTCCATTCCAAGTGCCCCTTTCCTTACCAACATCCAGGGCTACACAGCAGGGAACTCTGCTGGCTTTCAGAGTAGTAACAACAGCAAGGATTCCTAACATGACCGCAGTAGCTCATTCCTGTCTGGCCAAAGACCAAGCTTCTGAATACAGCTGAGGATATAGGCGAGGCCTTGTCCCATGAACTGGTTTGGCCACTTGCATATCAAGTTACCTAGGGGATAGTCAAGTCAGGAACAGAAGGTCTTGGACACAGGCCAGAGCGTCTGCGTACAGATCCATTGCTTTTTAAAAATTCTCTTTACCCACTCATTTCCCAAGCCTGGATATGAGTAAGGAGCCTCAGAAATCCCTCCTTCATTGGAATGTTGGTGAGACTGCCACTTGTCATACTCCTGTGTCAATGGTATCATGAAGAAAAGATTGCTTTTCACCTGCACCCCTGCTTGGAGGAAGTGGTTAGGTAACTAGTGTTTTGGAGTTAATACTGTTTAATCCTTTTAAAGATGGTGAGTTAATTTTATCAACCCAGATAGTAACTACCACCCTGGAAAATGATCTTTTGTTTAGAAGCTGAGCTCCTGGGTACCACCATCCAGGAAACCTTGGCCTGTCTCTGAAACAGGATCTCTTTGCACTCAACTTCTACCTCTCCCTGAGTTAGTTACTGGTGCCTTATCTGCCATCACTAAACTAGAAGTGTGGTTAGGGATGGTGTTGCTCTTTGGTTCCTGTGCTCTGCATTGGTTGTGGTGGGTTCTTAATTTATCTCTGTTGAGTCAATGTTTAAAGGTATTCTCAAATAAGGAAAAACTTGCAGAAAAGGTTCTTACCCTTGATTGCAGCCATTCCAGACAGATGGCTATCTCATGTGGGACCACAAACAAGCAGTGTTGTCAGTGATCTCCAGATACCTCCTGTGAGTATTTACACCCCACCCTGTTGCCTACGTACTTTATTCCACAATTTTGTAGCTTAAAAATGGCCCCATGTCAATTCTCCATAGTGCATCCATCTAAGACTGATTTAGTTAGTAGGTTCCTAGCCCTTGTAGGCAGACTGATACATATTGTTTATAACCACAATCAGAAAAAAAGGGCTGAGGACTCTCTTTTTGGTTCTTGGTGTGGAAACAATGTTAGATTTCTGGTCTAGCATGAGATGGTATTCACTGGCATTTGACAGTTTGCTAGGAGATCAAAATTTTGGTATTGGAATGTACTTGGGCAGAAGGGTATAGATCTTTTATCGGTGGCTATAAGATTCATTTAAGTTAAATTAATAAACTTTTCACCTATATACTACTTTTTAATGACAAACTACCAGTTCATTAGTTTTATTCTCATAAAAAGGGCTTAAATGGGTGGAGTCTATAGTCACAGGGGCATTAATTCATTAACGGTCAAGAGCAGATATATGGAAGGAGTAAACTCATGCCATACCAGTTTTCAAAACTTGCTTCCCATTGTAGGATCAAGCCTGTTTTTTCAAGGCACTGCCCTGGGTTAGTTAGCAAACTGTGTGTGCCTGTTTCCTTATCTGTAAAATGGGAAATAAGGTCGCATTCACTGTGGGAATTAAATTTTGCAGTTTATAATGACAGACATGATAGACACTAGGGAATATTACTGTGACATTCGGGGTTTATTCAGTCTGTTAGCTCCATGCGATAACAGGCGCTCCAGCTGCAGCATTTCAGAAGACACCTCTACTTAGTGGATACTCAAATGGTATCTGTGGGGAAAAGCGTTGCAGGTGCTTGAACAGTGGAATCAGGATTAGAATGGAGGTCTCTGTGTGTATAAGCTCTGAGGCTATCACGGTAGTCAACAGAAAATCCTTGGGGCAGGTCATGAAATGTCACTGAACTGACTGCTGGATTTGGGAGCAGGCCTGATTCTGAAAGTTCCTGGGTGATCTCTTCTGGCAAACAGGAAGAGATGATAAGATTTCCGAACGATTGTGGTAATAATGAGAATGCTTTACAGTTTACATTGAGAGGGTGAGGTTAATGTCCATTTTGTCACTTTATCTGTCATGTGGATACAGTTATGCCCAAAGAAGCGCAAGGTCACCTGCCTTACTGTAGTTGCATCTCAGCCTTTGGGTAGAAAACGAATGCTGTGTCCACTGCGTTAGGGAAGACATAAAGGGGTTTAGAGAGAGGATAGTTGAAAGTTTAGGACACAGAGTGGGACTGACTTAAGAGTACGGGGACAGTCTCTGCAGCTAAAGAACAACTGGAGAAGTGGACCAAGAAAACCTTTCAAGATGAACTAATCCATCTCCATTTCAGATAAGGAAAGAGGGCTCTGTAAAATGCCAATGAAGGCATTTTACCTTGACTGCCTTTGTATCTACCAACAGGGTATACAGTTAGGTTTCCCTGTTCTCCCACACACCTATTCATCCTAGAGGACTTTAGTGTCAGCTACTTGAATCTTTCAGGGGGCAGAAAAAGCAGTAGCTGTGTGGGAATGAGGGACATGTATGGGAAATGGCTGGTTTACAATATAATCTCCAATTTATCACCTTAGGAGAAGCATAAAATTTTTTAAAAATTCATTAATTTTGAACATGGAGATGAGAAAAATTTTGAATCTGCCATGTTTTCCTCACTCCCAGGGCTGGATGAAGGGAGAGTGAGATTATTTGTTGTAAAGTCCCCCATAAACATTTGAGAAGATGCATTGATATCAGGCAGTACATACACCCCACTGGGACAGGCAGGAGCAATGGTGTCTAATATTAAGGGGTGTTGGGAAATATGGGATTGTGGTGGGAGTTTCAGAAACGTCATTCCCAGGATGAAATTTTGCTGGGGTAGGAGTGGAGAGAGCTGGTCCAACTCCAACCACATTTGCTGTAATACATCTTATTATTAGGGTGGTTTTGCTAATGGTATGGATGTAGACACTCTCCTACCTCCATCTAAGTGGTCTAGGCTGGTCCCATTTTTCTGCTGTTTGTGCAATTAAAGTAACAGGAGCCACAGGGGAAAATATTCTTAAATCTTGCTGGCAGTTTCTTAAATGATCAAATTGTGAGTTGGTGGGGAGGGGACTTGTAGTCATTGCTATGATTTCCCTAGGGGCATTTTACAAATTATTCTCTGATGTGTTTCTCTGATTGTTCCAGAGGCTTTGGCAGAGAGAATTCCAACACCTGCCATGGGGAATGGGTGACAGCCTCCCCGGGACATAGGTGCTAAAATACCTACAGCCTCCACAGGCTGAAATACCAGAGCAGAGTGCTGTCCTCCTGTGTGGCAGAGTTCTCAGGCGAGCAGCTAGTCTTATGAGAATAGTGAAACACCTTGACTTTCACAGATGGATTAACACTGTGATCTCTCTCTTCTAATCTCTCCTTGCCTGCTCACCACTGAGGCCTGGGGTGGGTCTCCAAGAAATGACAAAACCTTCCCTCTTTTCTTCAGTCTATCACCATATCCCAAATTTGGCTTTGGAAAATCCCCTTCAACTTCCTCTTTTTACAGGAGAGTAGGAAAGCCAAGAAAAGCAAGCAGTTTACCTATATTTCCTTGGTGAGCCTGAGGTAGTGCCGAAACAAGGACCTACCTCTTTCTGACCTCAGTCTATTTCAGGTGTGTTTAAGTAGGAAGTTGTGTAAGAAACAGCAGGACAAAAACAAGGCAGTGCAGGGAACTGTGCGTGGATGGAGGTGGGAATGGAAGACCCACTGGTCCAGCAATCTGTGTGCAACCCGCAGATGTGTTTCATCTCCAGATTAGTGAGCTGGCACTGTCCTGTAGCTGGTTAATGGCCTCGTGTGGAATATCATTGTCATCACTGAGCTCTCTGAAGGGGCTATTTTTGGCTTGCCATTCTCTGTGCTCTGACTTCCTGACCCAGTGTTCCAATGGAAATTTTCCAGAGCAATGGGATTTCAAAATGCATAGGCAAGGGAAGGAACAGAAATAACCGCCTAGACATGAATGAGAAATGAGACAGGAGCCACTGTGTCCATTCTGGTCCCTCCCCCACCCCCAACCTCCCTCTAAAATAAATCACCATCTTCTGGCAGTTTGGTTTCACCAACTAAGATGTACAAACTTGTTGAACAGGAAATGCCCACAGAGGAGGAAGTGAGAGGGATGGTGGGGGTGAGGGAGAACAAGAGAGGGAGCAGAAACCTTAATGATCCTAAAAATTAATGGGCAATAATTTCTACTTTGGAACTTCCTTTACTGTTCCAAAGAGTGATAAAGCACCGTAATTATTGCTTTAAATAACCACGTGGCTCCATCAGAACAGCATGAGATAGCACTTGCCTAGGAGCAAGCCCGTCTCCTGCTGTTGCTGGCACTGTAGCCCGAGATACCCTTAGGAGCCAACAGGACAAGGTCTGGATAGAGGCATCTTTTAGTATGGGCCTCCAAGATGCTCAATTGCTGTGGCCTCAGGGGAGATGGCTGCAGGTTGTCCTTGTCCTCTGTGACATTCTGGGATCCTCAGCTGAGGCAGGAAGACATCACCACTCTCCTTCTCTTTGGGCTTGGGTGAGGAGGGCATCATTTCAGGATTTTGCAAAGTTCTATTTCTAGAAGATTTCAACCTATCCATGGGTGTCCTCGCTACCCACTGGGGTCTCAGGACACTGAAACCAAAGCCTTGCCCCCTACATGATCTTCCTCACACTGATGAGTAGTTCTCTAGAGCAAGCCAGCTCAGTTCATTGAGGCCTATTTCATTCACTCCTCCCTCTGGTCATCAGCTCTTGTTCTGAAGTTTCTGGAGTTGGTTTATCAGAATCGTAGCTTAGTAAGGGAAAATAAGCAAAATTATATTTTGAAGAATATGCATCCTGCTTGCCTGTTTGGAGAATTTTTGCCATGTATCAGGGGCTTAGGTATAGTCACCCCTTCTTGGCAGACCCAAGCGGTCCCTCAGTACAAGCCACCTAGCCAGCCAGCCTGGGAGACAGCCTACAGAGAAGACCTGATCTTGTCTTTGTCTTCAGAGCTGTGAGTATGCAGAAAGTGCTTATTTCATGAATACAATAGCTTCCAGAGGGGGAATCATTGTTCGTGGTGTGGGCTTCCAGCCAGACTAGGAAATAGCTGCAAATCACAGATCTTGACCCCAGTCCTCAAGCTGACAGATTATACCACCACCAAGCCTTCTGCCCACCAGCTGCTTCTACTAAGGAGGCAGTTAACTACAGAGATAGTGACAACCCCTTCAATTCCAGGACTGTTATCAGTGATGGAACCAGCTTAGCTGGGGCTCTAACCTCTGCAGCCTAATACAGAGTCTTACAAGACACCATCTCTTTTTTATGATGTTCATAAAGACGTGTACCTTGAATGAAAGGAACTACCTCTCATCATACTTATTTTTTCTCCCCAGTATGAAAAAAATAGCCTATGAAATATATTGGTGAGCATCTGAGAGGGATTGATTTCTTATTTATCAATAGCTTGGAAGAAGAAGAAATGGATTTGGGTTGGAGATGAACCTTCTTTTGTCTTCTTAGATTCAAAGTAAAAATATAGTTAAATCCAAGATACTTCACTCACATGAATGCGCATTCACACATACATACGTTTTCCTTTTTGTTCATACCTGTCCTTTACTCCCTGTAGCCTTAGCCTAGAATGGACTTCTGGATGTGCGCAAGAACCAGAGGGTGGCAGAGCTGAGCCATCGATTCTGACTGTTCTTTAAACAAAGGAGACACATTGTAAACTAATAGGAGGGAAGTTACTGGCTTTACCATCTTTCTACTTAATTGACAACTGCTGAACTTGGCTTCTGGGATTAGCTGTGGTTCTGGAAGTAGCTTGCTCTAGAGAACAGCAGCTCCTCGATGCCAGAACTCAGTTCTCCCACCTTGCACAAATAGTGGCCTGTACACGTAAAGGGCCAGAGTACTAGCAAACCATCCATTGCAGCTAACTCAGCTTGTCACCCACCATCCCGCTTGGCATCTGTAATCCCAAGGCATGGTGTCTCCTGTGCTCACACTGAAGAGGAAATTAAGAAAATATTGTCCTGTTCATTGGGTCACTTAAAAATATTTGTCCTAAATTATCTTCATTTTCTATAATAATAAAATCCATTAACTTACCAGTAGTTCCTTACTGCATTATACACTGGTAATAATGTCTTCGTGGGCATGCTTGCTTCCTAATTGATGATGGTATCTTTAACTTCCTAATCACTGTCCTTTCCCTACCACTGTTCACTTTTGGTTATGTGCTGAAGGAAAAATTAATTTGCATATTTTCTAAACAAGAAAGGCAACAAGAATTGGATGGGTCCATGTATTTGTGCATATGTATCTATACACCCACCTCGGGGTTGGGAAATAAAAGGGACATTAGGTTTTTGGTTGTGTGGCCTTCCTATGGAAATTACTCATGGAGCAGTTAGAATTAGGAGGGAATTTATTACTATCTCACTCTCCCGTTGTGTATTCAGAGAATCTAAGACTTAGTCATTTGCCTAAGGTCCCTAAGCATATTAAGAGCAGGAATAAAACTTAGGTTCTTTTCACTGCTATCATGCCTTCACCCCACATTGATTTTGCTACTTGTAAGAGTTTGATTTCATGACAGTTCCCTCTGTGAGTGTCTCAGGTGATTCTGCTGTTTGTTGGATACTGCCAGCTAGCTCTGGCAGCCCCTAGGGAACTCACAGGTAGAATTTCAAGGACCCAGTAGAGGTTGGGCAGTGGCCATGTGATTTCTTGGCCTGAAGGATTCCAAGCACTTCCCATAAGAAGACCAGTTAGGAATCTAAGATTTTTCTGTTTGAGCAGAGGCAAAATGTCTTAGAAGAACTGGTCTTGGCTTTCGTCTCTGATAGAGGCCTAGTGCCTCTGTTGCCCTGTCTAATAATGAGTAGTAGGGAGAAGGGCTTAAAAATAATGGTTAGCTAAATAAAGTGAAGAAAGTGCTAAGTGAAAGGGACTGGAAGTCTCTCCAAAGACCACTTGAGAACGAGTTGTGTTTTCCTCCTTTAAATAAAGTGATTATAGTGCTAATGAAAGGTGCTAGTAGCAGTGCCAAGACTAATGTTCTAATATGAACTGGTAGTAGTTGTTCAAGTTTGTTCTTTCTTTCTTTTTTTCTTTTTTTTTTTTTTAGCTTTTCTTCCTTGGGACGCATATTTGTGGTGGGGAAAAGAATGGTCTTTGATGAGAGAGTTCTACCAACTTGACTCCCATCCTTCAAGATTTCTTAGAAAAAAAAATTGTAGGTTCTACCTCACATCATGAGATAAACTGAAATATAACTGAATATTTTGGTCTATGCAGGCCAAGAGAAGGAAAGGCAAGGGCTGACTGACCTTGGACCTGTGAGTAAACACCTTTTATTATTCAAGCCTTAAGGCCAAATCCTATTTTTGGCTGCACAGTGAACTTTGCTTTACCTAATCTCTTGGTCTTTGTCTTGGCCTGTTTTTTGGGTCTTGTGTAGGCATAGGCTGTTTTGCAGAGTGGGAGAAGATTCCTCAGGGGGAAGTGCTTTAGGGAGGATCTAGGCCTCCATGGTCTCATCTCTTTGTATGGCTTCCCTACCTTCTTGCCTCACATTGGGGTTGCTCTGAAGATACAGGTGAAACCCTAAGCCTCAGAACAAACTGATTGTCAGCTGTTTCTCCTCATTCTGCCTGTAACTTTGAGCCAAAGCCAAGACGCTAAAGTGCAAAGAAAGAAATGGAACCCCAGGGTTCTGGCCATGGGCCAAAACAGGGAGCAAGCTGTGGACAGCGGTGCGCCAGTGGTGCTGTCCCCTTGTGCAGGCCCCCCCTCTGTGGATATCCACATCCTTTAGCTGGACTCCTTCTCCTCCCAAGTCCATCTCCTAGTCTTTCTCCTTTTGTTCTGGAGTGCCCTAGTACCCTAGGACAGTGGCACCTCAGAGTCAGAAGGTAAGAGAAACGTTTGTCTAAATTTCCTAAATGTTAAAGCTAAACAAAGCACCTAAAAGAAAAAGACGACTTATAAAAATATAATGGGGTCACCCCCCAAACTTCTTACATTTTCTATGTATATGAAATGTCAAAATATAATGAATAACTTTCCAAATAGTACCATCTCTCCCTACCCATATATACTTTATCTGTAGCAGCCCCCATACTGCCCATTCACCTCTTAAAGCTTTACTCTGTAGAACCACTAGATAATAAATCTATTTCATCCCACTCACCCCACCTTCCCCAACATGCACCCACTTGAATTTCAAAGTAACTCTCCAAAAAAATAGACATTTGCAAAAAGTATATCTGTTTACACTGTCTATGTGCATATTATTTCTCAAGATTATTACTTTTTTTTAACCATAAAAAAGATTGCATATTGGCAATATAATGAGAAACCATGGTGGCCATTTCTGGTTGTTGGTGGGTCAGTGGGCTGGGTGTGGAAGCACAGAAGCAGGAGGACTCTGAGAGGGGCAGGCGTGTCTTCGGCCTTGGCACATGAGGACTGAGAGGGTTAACTGGGTTCTCAGGCCTTAGGTCTCTGCAGTGCCCCATCTCTGTAGTCATTCCCTCTCTTCTGTCCACCTTCCTCCACCTCCTACCCCTGCCCATGCCTCACAACCCTCTTGAAGCAGAGGCCACGTGGCTCTGTGGCATGTATCTGCCTGGGCCAGTCTGAAGACAGGGATGGCATTTGGAGGGGTGTGATGTGGGACACACACCCAAGCAAGCTTATTTGTGACTGTTCCCACTCGGAAAAATTGTCCATGACTTCTATGTCGTTAAAAATTTAAGCAGTTACTAGGCTGATAGGTTAAGAAATAGATCTTTTGTTCTTGTGGCTTTGCATTAATATTAAGCATGAATATATATCATATATTACATTGCTTTCCTTCTGCTCTGGGGAAGACTGCACTCTCCTTCTAAACAGGAAAACTGCACAGCCTGTGAATTGAATGTTTTGAAAGCTGTTATTGCCCTATAACCCTCCCCCCACCCTTTCTTCCCAGCTCTCAGTTCCTATATTAGAAAATCCCACCCCCCCCCCCACCAGCCCACCCGAGGTTAAATAGATAGTGCCACGTTCTAAAATTCATGCATTGCTGCATTTTTGCTATTGCACATATTGCAGAGAGAGGGAGGGAGGAGGAGAGAGTTGTGCATGTGTGCCCCCTGCTGCCCTTCCTCTTCCCTTCCTTAGGCTCTCAGATTCCTGTGCCATCTCCCGCTCGGCCCTCTCCCAGCCTCCCCTTCACTGCCAGCAGACCCTTCACTGGTTGTGGACGTCCTCTCTGCGGACGATCTTGTAGATGATCCAGTAGAACATGTTGAAGATGAGGAAGGCCATGGGGAAGCCGATGCGGGATATTTTGTCGATCTTCTTGGCCCTCTGGATGAAGAGTTTCCGCATCTCCTCGGGCGACTTAGATGGTGCCGGAGGGGGGTTGGTGGTGGTGTTGTTGTTGGCACCCTTGACCGAGATGCCATCCTTGGCTTGCAGACAGGCTGGGCCCATCCCATAGGCAAAGTTGAAACGGACCTCTCCGGCCTCATCCTCCTGGAATAGATTCAGCATGGGGCTCTACTTAAAATAAGACAGGGCTGGGCACCCTCCCTGCAAGGCACTCCCCAGGGGGCCAGGCCGTGCTCCTGGTTCTCCCTGCCTCTCAGACTGCTCTTTGGCTGGCGTGGGAGTTCTGCCTTATAGAGGGGCGCCCCTTGCATGCTGGAACAGATGCAAACCAGGGGACAGAACCGTGGGTCTAGAGGCTGGCGACCTGTGCCATCTCTGACGTTACTTGCTGGCTGTATGGCCTTAGGTGAGTCACTTTCTTCCGTAAGCCTCAGGTTTTTTTTTTTTTTTTTTTTTAATGTCTTTTTGTCCTATGAGTGGGGGTTAGAGTCATCCCATTACCTTAGAAGGTTCTTTGAACCATCAGAGGTAATTGAGCAGATACTCTGTTGTGTCCTGGATTTTGATTAGGAATTCTGAGGGCAATTTGGAGAGATCCCCTGCTTTGCCTCTGTTGCTTCCTTACCCACTTACCCACCCTGTGATGACCCAGGCAGGAGCAGGAGCTCAGGCCTCCCCTCCGTTTCCCAAGCCAGGGAAGCCAGATCTTTGCCAGGTCCCCACATGCCTTTGATTTTGACGACGAGCCATTGTTCAGTGACCTTCCCTGCTTGCATCCAACTTACCTTTCCTGGTTCCTCCTCTCTCGCCACCATGGGCTCTGCACCCCTGCCTGCATCTTTCCATATTTCTTTTGTGTGTCCTCACATCCCTGCCTCACACTCACTTGTCTTTTTGGCTTATGTGTTTCCCAGGGCATGGTCTAAACCACAGAGGCACAGTTGGATGCTCCCATCATGCCCAGCTTCACTGTCTCTCCTTTAGAGCTCTGAGGTGGTACTGTGTCAAGCATTTCATTCAGTATGGGTCCAGTGTTGGATTCAGTCTGTGGCTCTGGGGGCATTTTATCAACTCATGTCGCCCTCCTAGATCATAAAAGCCTTCAGGATAGGGTCCCTATCTTCTGCTTCTTGCTGTGCAGAACAAGGCACTCAGGATGGGACTCACCCACGCCTCTCCATCTCTACTGGTCTGCCCCAGGATGGCCGCCATATGCACTTGTGATAACCTCCAGTCTGACCTCCTACTGCCTCAGAGCCCATCTGCCTTGTGCTGACACGGAAGTCACTGCTTATCTTCTGCTGAGAACCTGTCAGTCGGCTGCGGTTGACTCTAGGATCATTACAATCCTTAGCATGGTAAAAAAGGCCTTTGATGACCCTGTCCACCTCTCCAGCCTTATGCCATTCTCTCTGTCCTTCTGTGTTTCAGTCACTCTGTGATTTTCCTATATCTTTGCAAGTGTCTTGCCCTTCTTTTTGAGCTTCTGTTCAAGTTGTTCTCTCTGTTGGGTACACACTCCAAACTCCAGCTGCTTCTATTCTACCTAATTCTTTTTTTTTTTTTTTTGACAGGTAGAGTTATAGACAGATATAGACAGTGAGAGAGAGAGAGAGAAAGGTCTTCCTTCCGTTGGTTCACTCCTCCAATGGCCACCATGGCTGGCGCTGCGCCGATCTGAAGCCAGGAGCCAGGTGTCTCCTCCTGGTCTCCCACAGGGTACAGGGGCCCAAGCACCCAGGCCATCCTCCACTGCCCTCCCAGGCCACAACAGAGAGCTGGACTAGAAGAGGAGCAACTGGGACTAGAACCTGGTGCCCATATGGGATGCTGGCGCCGCAGGTGGAGGATTAACCAAGTGAGCCATGGCACTGGCCCCTCTCTTTTATTCTTAACTCAGAAGCCTTCAGTGTGCTCCCAAGAGTAGACTGGCTGCCCCTGCTGTGTGTGCTGTAAGATGATTTTTAAAGGCTGTTATCACACTGTTATGATTCTTTGATTAATGTGTCTCCCATTAGACTACAAGCTCCCAGAAAGTAGAGGGAAAATCTATCATGTTCGCTGCCCCCTTAACACTGAGCATATGAAAGTAGTTCCTGGTACATATGCTCAAAACTCAGTAAATATTTGTTGAATCGGTAAATATTTACTTGTATATTTTCAGCAGCCTCCTCTCCCTCCCTTTTTTGGTTTGTTTAAATGGGTTGCATTCCTAACACAAGGAAGGTTTGAGACATATGATAAATGCTATAAATGCTCAAGAAATCTTTGGCAAGTCAATCAATATGACCAACATCCTCATTGCAGGCAAAGCATGGAAGATAGATGCTTAATAACTATTTGTCTATCAATGAGGCGAGAATAGTGTTTAGGGGCCAGCATTGTGGCCTAGACAGTTAAGCCACAGTCCATATGGGAGCTGATTCAAGTCCCAGGTGCTCCACCTCTGATCTAGCTCCCTGCTAATGCACTGGGGAGAGTGGAGAATGGCCCAGGTGCTTGGGCCCCTGTACCCATGTGGAAGAACTGGAAGAAGCTCTGGCTCCTGGCTTTGGCCTGGCCTAGCCCTAGCTGATGTGGCCATGTGGGTGGTATGTGGGTGGTGAACTAGAAGATGGAAGCTCACTTGTTCTCTTTCCTTCTCTCTAACTCTGCCTTTCAAACAGTAAAATCTCTCTCTCTCTCTCTCTCTCTCTCTCTCTCTCTCTCTCTCTCTCAACAAAAATAGTAGTGTTTATGCCAAGGCCAAGAGGAGGGGTGGGGGAAGCCAGACAAATTCCTGGACCTAGTACCTGGAAGGCTGTTTACATTTTCATATAAATCTGGCTTTTAAGGGGATTGTGGTGCTTGAAAACTTATTTATTTATTTATTTTAGTTGGCCCAAGTTACAGGGAGAAGCAGAAAATTTAGTCTATGCAGATTTGAGTGAATTACTGTCTTCCTCATCTGTTAAACATGGCAGTGGAAGTTTTAGAGGCATGAACGGCAGGACCCATCAATCTTATATTGTACTTGGGGAAAAAAAAATTCCAAGCAGACTGGAAAAAGACTTGCTATTCCTATGACAACCAGCAGGTGGCAGAAACCACATGCCCAATTGCATCTGGAGCTGCCTGGGGATGGCATGGGAGAAATCTGATGTGTCTTCTGGAACCCCGGGAGGTTTCTGGGACTCACAGAGAACTCAAGGACCGGATGCCTTCTGCCCAACAAATGAGGTAACATGGGAAGATCGTGGGATTTGGGAAGCTGGGCCAAGATCACAGGCATTTTGGCTAGTTCCTTTCCACTCCTCATTTAGGGTTTCAGTTCCCCTCTGCAAGCGGCCTGCTAAAGAGAGGTTTCTGTGGCTGGAGCTGTGGTGTAGCTGGTAATGCCACTGCCTGCAGTGCCAACATCCCAAGGGTGCCGGCTGAAGTCCCGGCTGCTCCAATCCAGCTCTCTGCTAATGGGCCTGGAAAAGCAGTGGACTAGGGCCCAAATGCTTGGGCCCCTGCACCCACATGGGAGACCTAGAAGAAGCTCCTGGCTCCTGGCTTTGGATTGTCTCAGCTCAGGCTGTTGTGGCCATCTGGGGAATGAACCAGCAGATGGAAGACCTCTCTCTCTCCCTCTGCCTTTCAAATAAATAAATAAATCTTAGAAAAATAAGTTTCTGCAGCCTGTGCTGTTATGTGTTGCCACAGCCGCAGTGGCTGACTCCAAAGGGCACTCTTCATGGTGAACTGACTCCACACACTTGTGGTTTCTGACAGTTGGACGAAGCCCATAGCCTTGATGAGTGCACTCCCGTTAACTCACATTCACACAAGGAGAAATGGGAGTGATGAGGTGAGCTAGGGATGAATAATATCTGGTTGGAGGAGGCTGGTACACTGGGGAGTGTGTTCAGCCTACCTAAAGGCAGCACCAGTGCACCAGAGCCATTTGGGAATGTGTATCCCATGTGGCCAGAGGCCACCTTAAAGATACTGGCATTCCAAATTTGGCTTTCTGGCTACTAGTTTTTGATCTCTGCCTTGGACTACACATTAGTTCCTTTTTTTTTTTTTAGATTAATTTTATTTGAAAAGCATAGAGAAAGCACAAGAGAAAGGTCTTCCATCCAGATTCACTCCCTAAAAGGCTACAATGGCTAGAGCAGAGCCAGGCCGAAGCTAAGAGTCTGAAACTCCATCCAGGTCTCCTATGTGGGTGGTGGCAGGGGCCCAAGCACTTGGGCCATCTTCTGCTTCTCCAGGTGCATTATTAGGTAGCTGGATCAGAAGTAGAGCAGACATGACTGGAACCAGTATTCCTATATGAGATGCCAGTGTTGCAGGCCTCAGCTTAACCCACTTAGCCACATAGCCAGCCCCTGAAGCTGACTTCTTACTATCTAATAGATGTAGGACTGTTTTTATCTGGTTCAGGGTGGACCCCTGCTTAACAGATAAGGGCATGGTGTATCAGTCACGTTTTGGAAGAAGCCTCAAGTCCCTGAGTACCTCCTCTGTGCGCCATCAGTACCTTGGGATCCCGGTGACTTGCTTTGCCTTCCTATCATTAATTGCATGAGAGAAGGGGACAGGATGATCTCAGATCTCATCAAGGAAGGAACTGAAAGAATCTGATCAAATATGCTTAATGGCCTTATGCAGATGTTACCTGGCAAGAGAGAGTTTTTGTTCTCTAGGATATAAAACTGGCACCTGGGAGGGCTGGTGGCAGCCTTTGGAAGCAGCATAGGTTCACCACACTACACATCTGCACAGGGCTGCATTCAAATTTTAGTCTATGCAAATAACACCTTCTGGATTTGTGTAGCACAGAGTGCAAAACCTGATGCTTAAATGAATATTTTGGACATAGTCTTCCCAAATAAGTGTTTCCAACAAATGCCTTTAGCAGTGGGAGCTATAAAAAGCAGATAGTCAATGGGATTTCAGAGATTACTGTATTTGATCAGTCTCAGATTTTCTTTTTTTAAGAAGCCGAGGCCCATGGACAGTGCAGAAGGACTCAGAGGGGGGTCTTTTAAGAGATCCCACCTGACTCGCTGATGCAGATGGAGCACAATGGTGATGTGGTAACTCCCATAACATCTTGAAATGTTTACCACCTCCCTAACGCCAGAAGCTAAGTGAATCAGACCCCTGGACATTTAGGGAACATAGTGATGGAAATCTGTGTACATGTAATCACTTTAGTCCTTGGCACTTGTGTGGCAGGAAGAAAAGGTAAAGCTACTTTGGTGCCTCTTGGTTGAGTTCTCACCATGGTCCCTCTGAATGCTCACTTAGTCCCATTACAGATGGAGAAGCTGAGCCCAGAGGAAAGTTAGCTTGAAGTCACACACCGAAGGAAGCTCAGGAGGCAGAGTCCTTTGTCACAGCTGTATAGACAGTTATTTAAGTAGGCCACTCTGGAGCTAGTAGGAACTTGGTATGTCACAAGTCTGCGGTGTGGCCTGACAGGTCATAGTACATAGTCCTTGGTTGCCCTAGCCTTTCACTAGAAACAATTAAGGGAAGGCTTGGACTGAAAATCCTCCTCTTAAATCATTAGTTTGTTAATACATTTGTTCATTTGTTGATCAAATGTCTATTGTATGTTCACTGTATATCAGGCATTGTGTTAGGCATCAGGGATATAGCAATGAGCAAAAATACACATGCTCTTTGCCCAAAATGATCTTATAATACAGTAGAAGAGATGAGCATTAAACAATCACATTCTTGGGTATATAATTAAAAATCAAGGTAAATATTTAGAAGGAGATTAACCCACTTCCATTGGAATGTAGCCTTTGCTAGAACACACAGCCTGTTTGTATAAATTGGAAAGAAGCCATGCTCTTTAGAGATATCAACTGTGGTCCTTTCCTCTGGGATGACATAGTCTCAGGCCAGGAAAGAGCGCCCCCTGCATGTATGTTTCAGAAACTGAGGAAGCAGCTGGCGTGGTAGGTGTGGAGAGCAGGGGAGAAGGGGATGTGAAGATGAGGCTCGAGAGGAAAGCAGGTTCCTGATCCCTGGGAGAAAGGTTCCCTAGGGAAGCAGCTATGGACTAAGTATGGAGCAGTTTGCTCCAACTGGCTGCACACTCCCAGCGGCAGTTTTTTCTTTTTGGTTGGAGCACAACTTCCGAGTTAACAGATGTTGACAACTTTTCACTCCTGGCCTGCCAGGTGTTTCTGTGTTCAATCCCCTAAAAGGTGAGAGAACCCAGGCTGCAGTAGATGGGAGATGGTGGTGAACTGGCTTGTTGCCTCTTTCTTGGAGGCAGAATGCAAAGGCCTGGAACATGGCCATTCAACTTTAACTTCCCACATTTTGTGGTGTAGTTCCCTGAGGAACCAAGTCCATTGCAATAATGCAACCTGGAAGTAACAATCAATACACATCTCCCAGCTTGTTGTCTTTGGGGTTTGAAGCTAGTTAATACCTTGACCCCATTAGCATTTGCTCCATTAGTTGCTGGGAGATGCAACTGGTAGAGTTACGGTTAGAAGATGACATCCAACTATTTGTTGGATGGAAAGCTAAGACTTCTAAGAATCTAATTCCAATTCCTCACCTTCTTTACCCACTGAGAAGGATGGTCTGCGAAACCAGTGTCACAAGACTACTTGGAACTCATCCATATACCACTACTGTCCCACCACAGACAGCGACCTAAAAGCCTACCTTGTGATGTCTCCGCTTCCTCCTGAATCGGAGCAGCTCTTTGTGTTGCCGAGACACAAAGTTGACAGCAGCATATTCTAGCAGGGCTGAGAACACGAAGAGCAGGCAGACTGCCATCCAAATGTCAATGGCTTTCACATAGGACACCTGGAGCGGGGGTTGGGGGGGAAACCCAGGGAAGCAGGAGCAGAGGAGAGTGAATACAGTAGTTCCATTCTTCCACCATTTCAGTGATCTGCAGTTAATTACAGTGAAGTATTAACTGGAAAAGCACAGAGATAAATAGTGCGTAAGTTTCTGATTACATGCTGTCTGATAGTGCAAGGAAATTCTGTGCCATCTTGCTCCATCCTGCCTGGGACATGAATCATCGTTGCTGAGCCTTTATGTCATATATACTATCCACCCACTAATCACTTAATAGGCCTCTTGCCTGGATTAACAAGCTGACTGTGGTGTCACAGTGCTTGTGTTCAAGTAACTCTTATTTTACTGAATCTTGGACCGAAAGCACAGAAGTACTGATACGGGGCAATTTGGATATGCCAAACAGAAGCCACTTTCCTTATGTGAAAAATTGGAACTTCTAGACTTCATATAGAAAGGAAAAAGAATCATATACTGAGGTTGCTATGATCAATAATAAGAATGAGAAAGCTGTGAAATGGTAGGTACAGGGGAACAAAACCTTAGTATATGCAGTATATAGTGCTATGCATGGTTTTAGTTTCCACTGCAGGTCTTGGATGTGTCTCCCATGGATGAGGGATATATTAAGCATGGCCATGTTTTCTGCTCTCAAGTAGTTCCCCCACCACCCATTGCTGTCTGCTCCTCAGCTGGGATATTAGGAAGGAGAGTACAGAGAGCAGCAAAGAAAGACATCAAAAAGACTGGACAGAATATTGAAGAAAAGAGAATACAGGACCTATCAGAATATAAAAGACAGGAGGACAGTGGACCTAGCATTATCATTTATTGGAACAGTATGTTGTGTTTAGGGATGGCAGGAACATGGGACCTCAAATCCCCTTAAGCTAGGTGTTAAAAATACCATCTTAAGTGTAAAAGTAATCATATGAATAGGATTAAGGGTATGGTAATAAAAATAGATAGAATTAAAAAGGCAGGAATACTCCAATATGGTATGCAGTTCACACAGCAGAATCATAGAATGACCATTGTTTTAAGTAGCACTCTGACTTTAGAATCTAAAGCATTCTGGTCTGGCTGAAAAGCCCACGAGAGCATTTCAGGCATGGAAAGCCAAGACACTGTGGCAAAAAATATCCTACATGAAGGACCTCAGTGGGTGAGACTCCAGTGGAAAGAAGTGGTCATCAAAGAAGGAAGTATTTTTCTCTGAAGGGAGGAGAGAATTTCTACTTTGCTTATGGCCCTGTCTAAACACTGACCAAGTTTGTGGATTCAAAAGGCTTCCATAGCCTAGGCAGCTCATGTCAAGAGCCTCAGGTGATCACTTACATCATACATAGGAGTGTTAATTGTTAAATTAACAATAGTCATTGTGTACTAGCTTCCCATGAAGGACCTTTGTCCTCAGAGTTGTATTATAATTATGTCTAAGTTTTCACGAAAGATGTATCATTCTTGAGTGCGTCTTTAAAGTTAATTAAGTTAAAAAAAAGGTGAAATTAAAGATGCATTCACTTTGAATAGCCCTTGTTTCGACTATTGAGGAACAGTTTTTGTTTTGTTTGTCTTTTTTTTTTTCAATGTAAATTGTTGAACTCTTAGTATAGAGTTGGTCTTATGCGTATAAAGTTAATCAAAAATGGATCTTAGTGGAGAATGGGACTGGGAATGGGAGAGAGAGGAGGAGGGGTGGGAGGGTGGGTGGAGGGCAGGTGTGATAGGAAGAATCACTATATTCCTAAAGCATCTACTTATGAAATGCATGAAGTCTGTATTCCTTAAATAAATGGTTTCTTTGGCTGGGGGAGAGTGGCAGGAAGAGCTGAAAGTGAATGGAGGTGGAGTATTTGGGTTAAGACATGCCTTGGGACACCCACATCTCATACTGGAGGGTCTGTGTTGAGTCCCATCTCTGCTTCTGCTTCCTGCCAACGAGCACTCTGGGAGGCAGCAGATAGTGGCTCAAGTGCTTGCGTCCCTGTACTCACCTGGGAGACCTGGCTTGAGTTCTGGGCTCCTGGCTTTGGCCTGACCCAGTCTGAGCTATTATGGCCATTTGGGGAATGAACTAGTGGGAGGGAAAATCTTGTCTTTATCTTTCTTCTTTTCAAATAATTTTTTAAAAAAAATTAAAAGAAGTTGAATGGAGGATGTCAGTGAAAATGACAGCCTAAGAATGTCCAAAAATTCTCTTCTCCACACAATCAGTGAGAACACTGTAAAAAATGGTCAGGGTCCACTTTTTGAGAAATATGCTAATTACTGAAGGCTTATAGGAATCTCAGGAGCATTTATTAAAAAATAACAGCTGACTCAGTGAGAACAGCTTTGTGGTACTGTTTCAACAGTTTTGCTGGAAGGTAATGTATATATTACTCACTTTATACATCTAAAGTACACAATTAAATGAATTTTAGAATATTTACAGATATGTGCAACTATCAACAAAGAAAATTTTCAAACATTTTTATTACTTCACAAAGAAACTTGCTACTTTTTAGCTATCATTTCCTTATTACCTCAATCCTAAGGGACAATTAACACACTTTATATTTCTACAGTTTTCCTGATTTCTTAACATTTTATGTGAGTAGAATAAGACAATATGTAGCCTTTTATGATTGGCTTCTTTTACTTAACATGTTTTCAAGGTTCACCAATATGGTAGCATGTATTAATATTTTATCCCCTTTTTTCTTTTATTGTCATCAAACTTTTATTTTAGCAACAGGAATATATGTTCATTTTAGGAAAATGGGAGTATGTCATTCCTTTTTATGGCTGAATAATATTTCATTGTATGGGTATGAAACATTTTGCTTAGGCATTTATCAGTCAATGGAATTTTATGTCATTTCTAACTATTTTTTTTTTTTAAGATTTATTTAATTGGGGCCAGTGCTGTGGTGTAGCAGGTAAAGCCACTTTCTGTGGTGCCAGCGTCCCATATGGGTGCCTGTTTGAATCCTGGCTGCTCCAATTCCAATCCAGCTCCCTGCTAGTGTGCCTGGGAAAGCAGCCTGCACCTGTCTGAGAGACTTGGAAGGAGCTTCTGGCTCCTGGCTTTGGCTTGGCCCAACTCTGGCGATTTGAAGAGTGAAAGAGCATGTGGACGGTCTCTCTCTGTCTCTCTCTCTCTGCCTTGAAAGGCAAAGTTGTGGAGGGGGAGAGATGGAGACAGCTTAACCTGTTACACCACAATGCCACCTCCGGTTTCTACCTTTTGATTATTATGATAATGCTGCTATGAACATTTGTGTGAAGTTTCTATGTACACATATATTTTCACTTTCCTTGGGGCCTTGTGGCATTTTAACTTGCCTTAATCCCATCCTAACCTTCCCAGCTCCATGGAAGCCTTAAAGATCAACAGCCCAGGGGCAGATGGTGGTGTAGTAGGTTAATCCTTTGCCTGAGGCGCCGGCATCCCATGTGGGCGCTGGTTCTAGTCTTGGCTGCTCCTCTTCCAATCCAGCTCCCTGCTAATGGCCTGGGAAAGCAGTGGAGGATGGCCCAAGTCCTTGGCCCCTGCACCCACATGGGAAACCTTGAAGAGGTTCCTGGCTTCAGATTGGCACAGTTCTGGCCCTTGCAGCAATTTGGGGAGTGAACCAGTGGATGGAAGACCATCCTCTCTGCCTCTGCCTCTGAGTGTCTGTAATTATACCTCTCAAATAAATAAAAGAAATGATGATTAAAAAAAGAAAAGAAAAGAAAACCAGCTGCCCGGCAGCCACTAGGAGGGACAGAACAGAGCTGAGCGAACAGTCATCATTTGACTTACCTTGTGATTCACTGGAAGACCACTCATAAGGCTATCCTTACTTGACCTGACTTGGAGCTGGCCTAGTGTGATCTAGGAATTTGGTGGAATTTGTAGAAACCATCAGCAGCAATTGCTGCCTAAGGCAGTTGGGGCAAAAAAAGGAAAATCTGGGTAGGATAATGAGATGCCCATAGTGGGCTCTGAAGAACTCTGAGAGTCTTAGGAATTTATGCCCATGCTTAGGGTCCCCTTTGGCTAAACCTGAGGCTTTGGGCAAGCAGGATGTGAAGACTAAGGTGAAGTTGTAAACTTCTTGGCTGTGTGTTGAAAGTCTATTCAAACACACACACACACAGATTCCCTCAGCGAAGGCTAGGAGATTTATAGGTTCCAGCTGTTTCCAGAGACAGGAATTCTGCCTGATTTTTACCTGAAAATCAAATTAACTGTGTGGAGACTTTGGTGGTCCTACACAACAAAGGATACAGAATTCACAGAACTAGTTCAGCAAAGTTACTGAACAATTACAGGGATAATCAATCCTTAGGAAGAAAGAATCTGATTTCCAAGGTTGCCCAACAATGTTGTATAAAATGTCCAATTTCAGCAACAAGCTTTAAAACATGTAAAGAAACAAGAAAAACACCTCTCATACATGGGGGAGAGGAGTCAAAAGAAGTTACCCCTGGGGGCCCATGCTGTGGCAAAGCAGGTAAAGCTGTCACCTGCAGTGCCAGCATCCCATATGGGCACTAGTTCGAGTCCCAGGTGCTCCACTTCTGATCCACTCTCTGCTACAGCCTGGGAAAGCAGTAGAAGATGGCCCAAGTCCTTGGGCCCCTGCACCTGCATGGGAGACCCGGAAGAAGCTCCTGGCTCCTGGCTTCAGATCAGCACAGCTGCAGCCATTGCAGCCAATTGGGAGTGAACCAGTGGATAGAAGACCTCTCTCTCTCTCTCTCTCTCTCTTTCTCTCTCTCTCTCTGCCTCTCCTTTCTCTGTGTAACTCTGACTTTCAAATAAATAAATAAATCTTTTTTTTTTTTTTAAAAAGAAGTTACCCCTGAGGAAGATCAGATGTTGGAACTAATAGACCAACACTTCAAATTCATTTTTAAAAACATGTTCAAAGAACTAGAGGAAACATGTTTAAACAATGAAAGGAAAATCTGAGAACAATGTTTTATCAAACAGAGCATATTTATAAAGAAACATAAATTATAGA